TGTTTTAAGCCACGAGTTGGTGTAATTTGTTGCAGCAGCCATTGGAAACATGCTACCTCAAACTTCCTGCTACCTCACTCAGTGGAAACCACAGATCCATATATCAGTGGGACACACCAAGCACTCTTCTTCTGTATATTCCTCACCTAAATGCTTCTTCCATTCTGTCCACTTCTATCCACTGTCACTGTCCTAGTACAGGACACCTCTAAATACTCCAGATTCTTCCCTCTGAGTCCAATTCTCCTCATTTCAGCCAGAGTGCTTTTGTGTTTGTATATCAGAGCACATCATTCCTCTGCTTCAAACCACCTCAATAGCTGCCTGTCATCATCCTTAATATAAAGCCTGGGATAAACAGAGCAGTGGTCAAAGGACTCATTCTCACATCTCCCAGAGGCTCCCTGGGGACAGGCCCCTGTTGGGTTCGGCTGCATGGAGGGAGTTCAGGGATTTACTTGGGTTAGACCATGCTTGACTGCGGAGGGGGTGGGACTGTGGGCGACAGATGGGAGTTGTGCTCCAGCCTGAGGGAGTCACCCTGTGCAAGCCTGTCACCACCACGGACATGGTACAACTTGGACTCTGTTGAGGCACCTGGCTGAGGCAGTCCTTGGAACTTCTCCAAGCTAACCTGAACCAAGGGCTGCTTCTGTGTTATGTTCATGAGCTGAAGGAGATAATCAGGTCTCCAGAGGTCTGGTGTGACCCTCACTCACATTATCATTGTTAGCTGTGTACGCGCCAATGCAGAATTTAGTATCTTGTATCTTGGTCTTAGAAAATATTGTTACTTCTCTGAATACCCTGAATTTCTTTACCCTTTAGGGAAGCAGTGGTTTGATTTACCCATATGATGTCTAGTTTCCTCATGATTTAATATTTGCTGTTGTCATTTGCTAATACCGGAGTGGGTGATGTGAAGAATGCCGAACGTGGTTTTATAAACCCTCCTTTCACTCTTCAGCCTGTCCTTTCACCTGCTCTCTCAAAGCTCTGCCCTTGAACTTCCTTCCATGCCTCTACCTGATACCCACTTCCCCACCCTTATGGCCCAGCCAACTCCTGTCATTCTTTCAGCCTCAGCTCAAATACCAGTTCTCCTTGGAAGTCATTTTTCACTGCCTAAGTTGTTCCTAGGGTTTTCCATAGTACCCTGAAAGTTCTCCACACTCACAAGGATCACACCATGGTATAGTGGTTTGTTTCCTCATCTGCTGCTTCCATTAGACTTTGGACAATTCAAGGACATCTAGCTTGTTTATTATTGAAACCCTAGTGCTTCCCACCATAGTAAGTGGTCAAGAAATACCATTTAATAGATGAGTGAATGGACTCACAACAATAGCAGTGCTGTTTCAATGAATGCCTGATATATGGTAGGCACCATGCTAGGCACTGTGTGTATGTGTGATCTAATCGTAAATACAAACATGCAAGGTTGAGTTTATAATCTTAATTATACAGTTAAGAAAAATCAAGGGTTAAAGGCTAAGTAACATGGCCAGGGGCACTATTAAATTCTTAGCTGCAATTTGTACCCGGGTCTACCAGATGCCTCGTCAGCAGATTCACTGAGCTATTTGTATAAGGAGCCCTTTTCTCCTCCACCCACTCCATTCATCAATGCTGTACTCCCAACCATGTCAAGCTTCTGATCTGGGGCTAAGGAAAGCAGTATTTCCAATATGCCAGGAAATCAGATGGGGTTCTATCCTTAACTTCCAGGTCTAAGTAGTTTGATCTATCACAGCTCTTCTTTCAAATTCCTTTGATACAAATAGCTGTTTATGCCTGGTCCTTCTCTGATATCCCCTGGGACTGTTGCAGGGGTTATAAACAGGCTCTGGGGTGGGGCTGGGGAATGTGAACACTGAGATTTTTGTGCCCTTTTCAAAGGAGAGGGTCCACAGTTTCCAGAGATTCTCAATCTTCTGAAAACAATAGCAAAAGAGTCTCCTAAGGTATGGCTTGTTTTTTTCCCCCCTTTTCCTAGACAGTTGTGCTAGTGTCATTGAGGGCAACTCAAGGGCCTAATATGGCTGTCCAGATGCACAGAGGACTTCCTTGACCTCTGGAAAACCCATTATAGAGTTTTTCTTAATCTCACATCCCTCACATATGAAACAGACTGGGGCAGAATTGATACTTAAGCACCTTGCACAAACATTCTGGATTCTATGATTTCTGTGTGTAATAGAATCATTTAAATCAGCAGATGAAGGCTACAGTTATTATCGTCACTTTAATTCACACACATAGTTTTGCATGCAGAAGCAGAGGACAGAGGCCTACAAGCCATGTTCCGAGGTGTGGGAGTCCTCTTTCTGGATGAACTCGTAATGGTTGGCTTCAGTCTCACATTGTTTTGCCTTGTGGTATTCCAAATATTCCCCTGGCAATCTCCTATAAGCATTGTGTAATTTATTTACATCAAGAACTGATGCTTTCTGAACTAACTGATTTTTATTGACCAGTGAGGGATGATCTTTAAAAAAGAATTATTACTTTTCTCATTTAAAAAAGGAGTAGCAATTAGGTCACTGACCCTAAGTTTATGGTTCACTTACATGTGCCATTAATTTGTAAGTTACTTGATATTTTAAATTGCCTTGAATATTGCTATGTTTATAGGTGTATGGTATTTTTAATGTTGCCATTAGCTTTATTACCACTTTTACAATGTCTATCTCCCACCAATGTTTCTCTCATTTTGTTGTTAAATGAATATGGAAATTAGAAGTAAAGAATAAACACAACTGGGGCTTATTTCTGAGACAAGAGTGGAGACATTATTTAAACATAGTTACATAATACAGATTTGCCTGTTTTTTAAAAACGAATTTACTCCTCTTTTCTTAGAAACCTGTCTGAGGACCAAATTTTCCTCTATGTTTCGTTAACAGGAGAGGAGTACTCACTCAGCACACTCCCTGATTAGAATGTGGCCCTGAAAGTTTCCATTTCTCGGGTTTGGTGGGTTTGGGGAATGTACTTTAATGTGGTGATGATGACGATGACAACAATGGTGATACCTGACATTTGCTGAATGCCTATTATGGGATAGACACTGGCTGTTCTGTTCATACGCGATAACTTGTTCACTCTGCACAGCTTTATGAGACAGTTGCCATTATAGATCTCATTTTTACAGGTGAAGAAAGTGAGTCTTAGGTTAGGTGGCTTGCTCAAGGGCATGCAGTAAATGAAGGGTGATGCATAGGTTTGACCTCAGTGGATTCTGATTCTAACACTTGCATTTGTAGCCTCTATTGTTTTCTTCTCGTTATTGCAGGTGTTTGAGGTGCTTCAGCGCCATTTGCACTTTGTGTCTAGTCACAGTATTTTGTGCTTAAATGTGTAAGAAACTGAAATCTTTTTCTTTAGTTTGGGATTTTTTCCAGCTCAATAGCCAAGGAATGTGGTATACAAGTTAAAAAAAGCCAGGCTCAGTGGCTCAGCCTGTAAGCCTGCACTTTGGGAGGCTGAGGTGAGTGGACTGCCTGAGCCCGTGGGTTTGAGACCCACCTAGGCAACTTGGCGAGACCTCATCTCTACAATAAATTAAAAAAAAAAAAAATTAGCCGGGCATGGTAGCACGCACCTGTAGTTCCAGCTACTTGGAAGGCTGAGGCGGAAGGATCGCCGGAGCCCAGCAGGTCGAGGCTGCGGTGGCCAGGAGCGGCCACTGCACTCCAGTCTGGGCGACAGAGTGAGACTCCAACTCAAAAAAATAAAAAAAATAAATTAGAGTATCTCAGAGGCAAATATAAGGCTTAGGGACATTACCGTGTAAAGGTAACCAAAAGATGCTTAGATCATAATACAGACACACTTGAGAGAAACTCATGATAGTGTCTGTTTTTCTTGATATGTTTCCTAGTGCCATTAGCCTGTGAAAGATCATGGACCTGAGTCCCAGATTAGAAGGAAACCAGGACAAAAAATAATCCATGTAAATTCCTTTCAAACCAACCTGCTCAAGAAACCAACTTGTCATCCCATAAAAGTGTTTAAGAGCTGTCAAATCCTGACTTTCCAAATCCAATGGTGATGGAAGCTATGGGAAAGAAATTTTGATGGAAAAATAACACAAAATCTAAGCATTGGATGGGATCTTAGAGGTTTCTAATCCAGTCTCCAAGGACCCAGACCTCTCTGACAGATAGTCACAGATCCCACTTTTGGATGTTTTGATCATAAGAAAAAACTTACCTAATAAAATCGTATACTCAGGGCTCAAGAAGATATCTTTGATTAAACCAAAAAAAAAAAAAAGATGGCATCCTGGAATGCCAGTTTCTTGTAATTGATAAAATGATTGTTAAGATTAAAATAATAAAAGCAGATTAGAAAATAATCACATTTCTCCAAAGGGAATGAAACACACAGTTCTCAGAATTCTGAGTCAAAAGGACCACAGGACTTACGGCTTTGTCTCTTTTTATTAAGGACACTACTGCAGTTAAATGGGCGCAGTATAGGCAGGAGGAAAGAATGCATGATATCTTCTGAGAGTCTTGGGAGTCAGCTCCTTTCTAAACTTGGCAGCTGAGCTAGTGCCCTGTAATTCTCTCCCTTTTTCAGAGAGGAGGCTGGTTTTAGTTTTTCTGGTCACGAAGCCCTGTTGTTCCAAATGGAGATTCTCTGTCTACTTTGTGAAACTCACCTAGAGGTCAGGACACTATTTTTTCCTGATCAGAAAATGTGCTCATCTTTTTCAGGGAACTAGCAGGTATGGAGTCTTTTTTTTTTCCCTTCTTCTTTCCTCCAAGACAGAGGGCATTTTTAATAAAACCATCCAGGACCAGGATGTCTTGGAACTCTGAGAGCATCCAGAATTCTTCCTAACTGGTTGGGCTGAGCAGACCCCAAGCAAATGCAGCTGCAGAATTTGCTGCAAACTCACCCTGATGGTCCTGGTCAGATCTTACTCTTGTGATCTCAGTTTTGGGTAGAAGCAAAGAAACAAGTCAAGTGAGGGGAATCAGGCCGGCGAATTCTTTACAACAAGGTTTTATTTATTTATTCTTTTCTTTGACCCCCCCAACATTAAAGTTTTTCAACTTTCATTTTTAATGGTTTTCCTTTTGGATCCAAACGAGCATCTATATTACAGGATACCACCTGGTCAACATGCAGTGCTGAACTCTGGCTTTAGGAGAGATGCACTGGTCCTCTGGGCGGGCCAGCATTGGCGGCCGTTCAAACACCATGACTGCAAGGGTGTCAGGCTGGCATGCCACAGTGGATGCTGCCCCTAGGGGGTGTCTCATGGGGCTTGATTTGCACGTTTTAGAATGCAGGTGGCAGCATTTTAACAGCCTGAGGCAGAGCACCCAATCTCCCCCAGACCTCATCTTACATGCTCACCCTCTAAGAGCAAATCAAGGAGGGAATGGCCTGACCATAGGTCCCAAAGGACAGAGGTTGAGGACCCTGTGGTCCACTGCCTTGTCATGTGGTTCTTGGAGGCCAGTTACCGGTGCACCCTGCAGAAGTTTGGAATCTATTCCTGATGAAGCTCATCCCTGTCCCACACACTAGGAAGGTTAGTGTAATCTCTCCATTATTGGTGCTACTATATTAAAGAGTTGCTGAAGTTTTAACGATTGTCTTCAAGCTGCTTTAAAGTAAGAATCTCCTTTACTCTCTATCTCCAAGGTTTGGAAAAATTTTCAGAAATCTATGAATCTTCTGTGGCTTCCAAATCCACGACCCTAAGTGGGTTTAACAGAGAGAACCCTGAATCCAGTCTTGTGCTAAGTAGTTTACTCATAATCTAAGTGAGAAAGAGGATCCAAAGTCATACATCTCTAAGCCGTCCTCTTCTGGGACTTGGTGATATTTTCCTCCTCACCTTGTTTTCGTTCTATAGCTTGCCTTCCTACACTCTACTCGGTTGTCACAGTTATGAAATGCCAGACACATTTGGTGCAGTAGGCTTTTCTCCGTTTTTCTGGGCGCGTTCCAAATCTTGGACTCAGTTTGAGTGGAGTTGGACTGCTCTCTAATGGCACCAAGAGCAAAGTTCCTCTGCAATTTCAGCACTTAGGGTGGCTTTGTATAAATTTTGGCTTGTTCACAAAACATCAGGATAGAAAAACACTGACTAAAGTTCAGCCTGCAGGCTAAGAATACATCCTCATTGGGAGTCATTAAAATTTAATACCTATGTTTTTACTAAATCTGCTGGGATCTGCCCAACGTTATACAACTCCATATCAAATGTAACTAAGATCACAACTACTGTATACTTTAACTGGCAGTTATAGTACATTGTTTAGCCCTCATTTCATATTACCTTTATTTTTAGAAGCTGATTAATGGCACTTTGAAATTTTGGGGTGTTTTTTTCTGCTCATCCCCTTTAAAGATCTGTAAAGGATTTGTGTAAGTGGGGGTTCTTGTGTGGCATAATCCATTGCCATAAGAAACCAGAATACTGGAAAGAAAACAATATAGAGTCATCAAATCAAGTCAGATTGAGATTTGGCCTTTTTTTACTGGTTTTATCTCCTTTGCAGTTTGGGGGCCATCCTCTGAGTGAACCGAAGAGAAAATGGCACTACTTGGTGCAGATTCTAGGATCTGGTTCTAGAATGTAGAGAGCAATCCATCTCTAACAAACTTGCAGAACTGAAAAAAGAAACAAAAGATCATCCCTTCAGATTTCCATTGCTGGGCTGGAGAAGATGTCTGGGGAAAGATCCTAAGTGTTAGCTTGTGTTAACTGACCTATGATGGGTGCACATGTTCACAAAGAGATGATGACCCAAGTAGCTCAGAGCATAAAAACTCAATTTCCTGGATTAAAAAAAAATCCAAATTTTTTTCAAAATTAAAGAGCTGATAAGAAGGGAAAATGGGCAGCACAGAGTGTAAAATAAAAGCAAATCCTGTATTCAGGTTCCATTAAACATGAAGTTACTTCAGAAAAACTTAAATGCTTATAGTAATGCCAAGAATCATAGGTTCTTTGTGAGATACAGCAAGTAAAGGTTTTTCTAAACCGATTTGTGGAGACTAAGTCCTTTAAAATATGTACTATTAACTTACAAACACTTGACATATTCATGAGTTAGCCAAGTTTTAGAATTTCTTAACAAGGTAAAGAAAGAGATGTTTGCTGAAGGCACACATTATTACAGAAGCCTGGAATCTAATTTATTATTTTTGACTTCCAATTATTTTCATTTACCACATTACTATACTATTTAAAAATTTATCTTTTTATCAAGACATACATTTTGTATTTGTTAAAGATGTCCTGAAAAAATTCTATATCTATTCTATTATGTCCTTGGCTTTCATTGAAAGGCAGTTTTTCATTAATCTAGATTATATTTTAGGTCCTTAGAAAAGAGAGAGAGACATGGACATAGACAGACAGAGACAGAGGTCAACTTAGAGAGACAGAAGGAGAAAGACGACAAAAAGAAGACCAGAGAGAAAAGATGAAACTGTAACCTCAGATTTTTGACTGAAATATCATATCATTAAATTTGATGTAAATGAATTCCTATAGAGAAGTAGATTCAGAAACATTGCAGAGCACAAATTTATCATTCTTTGCTGTTCTAGAACAGATCTGTTATAAAAGGTCCAGCCATCAACCAAACAAAAAACCCCAAATATAAATTCTTGCACCTCTTTCTACCTGATCTGCTCAACTCTTTCATACCTTCAGAAATAAGAACTCAAACCTCTATAATATATTTACATAGTAGCATGGCTTATTATAGAATCTTTTTGCATCTAGAAGGTCAAGATACTAACCTCCCTGTTTATAGCATGGAGAGAGAGAGGGTGGGTGAAGGAGCAAGACGAAAAAAAAAGCAATTTGAGGGCACCCCAGCCTCACCAGCCATTGATTAGATGTTACCGTAGCTTCATTCTTACTTCCCAACCAACTGGCTTTGTCAGAGACACTTTTCAGACCCTTTGGGTAGGTTGGGATGGTCTATGAATGGTCTCTTTGGCTTGGTGTGACCTCTCTGGGATGACCTCAGAAGGTCAAAGCAGAAAGGATTCAAGGAAAGACAAAGAGAGCCACCAGAAACCACAGATAGTTCTTTCTGTTCTTAGTCTTCTGTCCCCCAAGTGGTATGTCTATGTACTCTGATTAGGTAAGCTGTAAGTACATGACAGCTGACAAAACACCCCTAGCAGTCTGTACCTGAGCCCTCCCGCTGAAGCCAGCATAGAAGTCATCAGTTGCTGCTCTATTTGGTGTAGCCCTGGCTATGATGTATGAGATGGTTTAGAAAGTAAAGAAACTGGCACAGACAGTGCTTATTTAAAGTGGATCTCCTTGATCACCTTCATGCAAAGGTTAGGTCATAACCCCTGAGTTAATTTTGTTTGGCTTTTGTTAAAATAAACGTCTCAGGATGGAGATGTTTTAAAGATATCCAAACCTGGACCTGATTCCTTAGAGACTCTTGCCAGGAGTCACACTGTACCCTGACTGGCCACTCGCAAGGGGCCCACTTCTTCCTTCCTTCCTGCATCATAAAGTCCTCTCCTACTCCTCCTGGTTGGCACATGATGCTCTGAAATCCAGGAGGGAAGGACTGGCAGTATGGGTGAGAGAGCTAGTGAAAGAGAGTCTGCCCCAAGGCCTCTCCTTACCAGGATTCTTGTTATGCTGTCCCAGCCAGGCCTTCAAGGGTCCCAGAACATGACAGATGTGAAACTGAACAAAAATAGCAGTGAAAATTTCTCAACCTTCAAATCTCATAAAAATCCCTGAAAGGTAGATGAGTATCTTCTCCCCCTTTGCTACACATTTGGTCTTTCTTTACACTATAACCTCATAATATTTATACAACTGAGCTGAGAAATCAAAGAATCTCTCAACTTGTTTCTGGCTCCACCCATTAAAGAAACACAGTGTACAAAAATGAAACACACAGAGCAGGCTTCAGAAATGAGATGTAATGAAAAACGGAGTTTTGATTTTTTAAAAATCAAAACTATTTAAGATTTTGTTCCATTATGCCAGGAGAGTCCTTATTTCCCTATAGGGAGCTTTTGTCCAGTCTGTGGACATTTCATACATACCCACACCCACCCCACAGTTCCCACAGCTTACACCGTTTCAATCATCTGATGAAGATCACCAGATTTCATTAGAATGCAGCCTTCCCCATAGCTGAGGGTGTGGCAGAAGCAATCAGGCCAGCAAATAGCTTGGAATGAGTGGATTTAACCATTTTAGGAGCTGGGTCAATGCTAACATGCAGCAAAATAGAAGTCATGATAGGAGAACAGAGGACACCCGGGCTCACCACGTAGGCTCTATGGTAGGGGAAAGGATCAGTGTAGGGAAGAGATGCTGACTAAAAGGTGGAATATGGGGTCTTCTCTTTGTGGCCCCAGAGTCAAAAGAAGACAGAATCTGGAGTTCAGCTTCAGGGAAACATTCTTGGTGATTTCAGTGCCCTACAGGGACATTGAGTGGGGAGTACAAATAAAGCCCAGAACAGAAACACACTCTTCAGCTAAAAGGTGGTAACCTTCCCCTGCAATTGAGCAACTGTGCTCACAGCCTGTATGGAGCCTGGGGGACACTAGAGGGCCAACCCCTTTACAGGGCTGGAAATTGTTTGCTGCCCCTGACTCGCAAGATATCTTGGCTGGGGCCCTGTCCCCATGTCTGAAGGCCTGTTGGCACTCTGTCCTTTTGGAGATGGAGAGAGAGGGAAAGAGGCACAGAGAAAGAGACAGATCTTGCATTCTCCACCCAAAGTCTGTCTAGAGCCTTAAGAGAAGGATCTCTAAACACAAACCTAGTTTAGCTATCTGCCTTGGTTTCTTTTCCTCCCTTCTTTTACCTTCCTTCCTCCCTCTCATTTTCACTCTTATTTCAAGATAGTAAAGACATATTGGCAAGGAAAACTGAACTATGACTAAAGAACCTTCTGGGGGGACCTCCAGTGGCCAAATTTGATCATGTGGTGTATCTCAAACACTGGCTGTAGTATTTGCATGGAATTTAATTTTTAATGAGAAAGAATATGGGATTTGAGATCTATAGGACCTCCTTCAAGGGAAAAGGAAGAGGCAGAACCTGTTGCCTAGGCAGGAAAGTCCTAGCTGGCTATGAGAGGGAAGGTCGGTACTCACATTTATTCAGCTGCAGTAGGAAACCAAAGAAGATTATGATAATGAGTTTGTGACTTAACAGAAAATTCTTTTATTTTCTGGTCTTAATAGAAGAGTAAATGTAGGCTAAAGGAAAAGAAACCTGATTTCTTGGTCAGGGGAAGTTGAATAAAAGCAGTAAGTTCATAGGTACTAGAAAAAACAGGTGGTCAACCGGCCAGGCAATCGCATCAGCAGCACTTTACCACACTTATTCAGGACTCAAATACTTGTGTGTGTGCATGACTTCAAGGGGTCTAAGTATCCAGGAAGGTTTCCTGGCACAGTAAATTTAGTGCTCCTACTACTGTTTGCTGGTAAATTCCATTTCTGGGAATTGCTTGCCAGCTTGGATTTCTCCTACTGTTAAAATGGCATAAGGTGTCACCACAATTCCCTTTCTCCCAACACCATGCGATATACTTGCTGGCTCAGAATGATCGTCCTGTTGTAGGCCTTTCCCTAGGGAAAGCTGCATTTTCGATGTGAAAAAAAGCAATTTTGTGCACACGAAGCAGCCCGTTGCAGCACTTTGGCATGAAATGACGCTGAGTAGAGGAAACCTTAGAAACAATACAAGGCCCTGCTTCGGAGTCTTAAGTAATGATCGCACCTGTTAGGATCAGGGTGCTGTAGTCAAGTTCACATTCCCAGCCACCCTTAAGCACACATGTACTAAGTAGGAAAGGGAGATGAAGATGGAAGAGGGTCTGAGAGTGGGAGAGCTTTGTCTTGGCCTCGCTGGCTTCCGGTATTGGGACTACTTTGGTTCAGGGGCTGACCATGGGTCATGGAGCTTCGTCAAAATCCAGGAGAGAAGGCAGGGCCACGACATGAATTTGGCTTTTCAGGGCTGATGCAGCTAAGCCTTATTTCTATTTCAATTGGAAAAAAAGAACTTTGTAAGAAAAAAAGAGGCTCCTTCTTGAGAAAAATAACAATGCTGAGCTGCTCCTACCCAAGAGGTGGAGTCTATCTGGGCTGGAAGAAGATAAAAATGAGTGTTTATCCTTTATCCACAAAGCTCTCCATGCCAGGGTCCTCAGAATCTTCCTCTGGAGGATCCTGGGTGCCAGGTTCCATCTGCTTCTGCCTGGCACCCTCTCCAGGGAACCCATTCACCTGCTGTGATGGCACTGGGAGGGACTTACGGGAATGGTGTATTTCTACCAGATATAGCCAGTGATGTGTTCCCCTGAAGGAAGCTATATACTTATACCAAAGGAGCACTGGCTAGCAAGAAAGAGCTCTCCTCTTCTCACTTCTTCTGCATTTGGGCATCAGGAATGACACGGTGAGGCTGTCTTCTTCTCAGCTCTTACTCTGGGAAGAAGTGAAGCCCTATCCTGGCACAGAGAAATATTCAAAGTGACTGGGGCCCCATCAGAGCCATATGAAGGAGCAGCCCAGGTCTAAGCTGAGGTATATTTACTAATCACCTTAAAGCATCCTGACCAACTGACCCTCAACCCCAAACCAGCTGCAGAAGCTACAGGCTCTTCCTCACGAGAGGGCCTCTGTAAATTCAGACTCTTTCATGGAAGCTTCCCTTGTTTCAACCTATCAGCTTTTCTCATGTTTATAGAAGTCCCTTCCTGGTGATGGGTGGCCCATTTGGATATGTGTGTTCTGCCTGCTCGGGGAGCGGCAGGGAAGGCTGGGCACGTGGCCTCGCTGGGCTTGGCACAGCGTGGGCCTTGTTGCTTGGCAGGGAGGCCCCTGCCTTCCAGACCAGAGTGAGGGCTGATGTTCAGCCAGGATATGCTGGTATGGCCCTAGGCATACTGAATTGTTTCTATACTGGTTGGAAAACAGCCTCTGCTTTGAGTCCCTTAGGTGCCTTCTGCCACCCTGTCCCCACTCTCAGGGTTCCCCCATGACCAGCATTTTGAGGGCCAATGCCTGGAACAGCATGAGCTCCAGCACTGCAACCAAACTCTGCTTAGGTTGGTGCCCTGGCCGGAGGGGTTGTTAAACACGTTTAACATCACCCTTACCAGAGTCTTGGGCTACTCTGTGGACCCCATGGGGCCTCCTCCCCTGTCCTAACACAGCACCTAGTGCATGGGTGACAGGCCTCAAGAATGGGGGGCTGGACCCCTCCAGCACCACCAGTCCTGTTTCTTTGACCCTCTCCCTCATGGTAGGGGCTGCTGGGCTATGGCTTTTCTCACCCAGACCAGCCCTTGCTGTTGGTGCCACAGCACCCTGACCCCTTCCACTGCAGAGTTCTCCCCTCCCTGACTCCTCTCCTCGGCATCTGGTGCTCCTGATTTCACCTGTGCTTCTTTGGGGGAAGCAAGCCACAGGATAACGCGTGAGATGCTGTTGCAGTTGCCCTGGTGGCAGTGGTGCTGGCTGAGGCGTAAGAGCTGGTGAGGGAGAAGATTCCTCTCCTGTGGTCTCCACTACTCCCCAGTTAGGAGCCAGAAAAGTCCTTTTGGGCTTCTCAGGGCAGTGAGCGTTGACACAGGCCAGTTAGATCCCTCCACGGCTGTTAGAAATGTGGGAAGGGGTAGGGGGAAGCAAAGCCATCCTCATGTCCCTTCTCCCATGGGAGAATAACCCTCCACGTTCCCGTGTTTTCTTTCCCCAGCAAAGAGGCAGAACTATGGCAGTGCCCATTTGCAAAGGGGAATAAAGCAATTGGGTGGGTTTGACTGGTGTTCCGATTGTCCTTGACGTCCTCTGCTCCGGAACTGCATGGTGTCCTTTCGTCTTCCTTCTCCCCCTTCCTCCCCCCCGGGCCGCACTGCCTTCCCAATTCGATCTTGGTTTTCTCCATGTGAGAGAAGAGCATGCATCGGAGGGGGGAGCAGCCTCTAGCATTTGTCATCTTCTTCCGTGTCACTTAGGAGGTCGCTGACAGCCCCACACATCATGCCTGGCCCGGGTCCCCCACGCCTCCGCCGCCGATAGTGCCCATTGGGCATCTGCCAGCTGTGCCGCAGGGGCGGGGCCGAGCCGATGGTATTGGAACGACCCAGGCTGGTGGCCACAGCTGCCTCGAAGGTAAGCGTCTCCTCCTCGCCACAGTCCGAGGCGTGGGAGTCTTCGTGCAGGGCCAGGTAGGGCTCAGAGATGTAGCGCTGTGGGGAGGCATGTTGGCCCTGCTGGGGGTGTGGGGAGTTGGAAGACTCGGTCAGGCAAGGGTTGTTGCTCTCCAGGGCTTGGGAGGTCAGTGGAGAGCCCCCCTCACTTCCATCAGCGGGCGGAGAGATGCTGCCAGCATGTCGCATCAGGGAACTGTAGGAAAGGAGGGGCCGGGGCTTTGGTGGGACAGGTGGGAGCTGCCGACGACTTCGTCTTGGGGTGCTGGTGTCAGAGACGGAGGGGATGGAGCTTTCACTTAGGGAACCTGTGCCCTGTGCAGCAGGAGAGATAGGCATGTTAGACTGGGCTGGGTACCATCCCTACTCGGGACCCACTGGGGATCCCTGAACCCTCCTGCAGAGAGCCCTTGGAGTCTAAATTATGGGTGAGGGAGCCGAAGGTCCCTGCACTACTCATAGCTACTCAGGGACACAGGTATTAAAGAGACTGAGGAGCCAGGATATTTCCAACTTTTACGTGCATACAAATCTCTGGGGATCTGCTTAAACTGCGATGCAGGTTGGGCAGGTCTGATGTGAGGCCTGAGATTCTGCATTTCTAACATCTCTCTGGATATGCTGGTATGGCAGGTTCATGGAACAAGCATTTGACAAGCAAGAATCTGGAAGCTCTATTTTTGCAACAAATGGCACATTGAAAGAAAGACTTTAAACTTGAGAAAGGCAGTGATGTGAAAGGTAAATGAATGCTCTGGAATGAATGAATGTCTGGAAAACCTTTTTTGGGAAGGGGGTTCTAAGAGAATCGAAAATTCCTTCCACTGTTTTCTTGGCTGCTTCTCCCCACCCAAGCACCTGGACCTCACCTATTCCCAAGGGGACCTGAGCCCAAGTGTTGACAAATAAACCACCAGGACAGCATTTTTCCAGGTGCGTGTATGACCTATTAACCTGCTCAGAACCTCCTGCATTTGAGGTGTCCTTCAAATGCAGATTTCTTGGTCTCACTTTCAAGTGGGTCCCAGAATCCTTGAGGCCCCAGGAACCTAGCTCCATAGGTGACTCTGTTCTACGCTAATGTCTGAACACCACCGTTCTACAAGGTAAACTTCTCAACTGCCTATGTCTCTAAATGTCTGCTCTAGCTGTCCTGCCTTTTCTCCACTGATCATTTCTGTGGAGTAGGTCTCCCATCTGAGCTCAAAGAGTCCTTAAATAGAGATAGGGCTGGGAGTGAAGGGTGGTGATGAGGAGTAACACAGGGTCAAAAAATGTTTTCATACAGCTCTGCTAGTTATTTCTTAGACATAGGCTGGTCATTTAGCAAAGGGCTGAAAGGAGAAATATAGTCCTTCCTCTTGGGATGGCTGGAAGTGAGGTAAATGGGGCCGAACTGCTCTGACGTATGGATCTCGGGCTGAGAGATGAAACACCATTTCCACCACACTGAGGATCACACAACAGGCAAAGTAATCCTTCTGGCTAAAGGACTATCCTTTCTTCCAAATTGGGTTGAGACATCTATGAACTTATTTGCCCTTCTGGACTGAGGGTCGAAATGGAATGACCCCTCTTTCCATTGGGAAAGATAAATGACCCCTTTATCTTTCTTGTGGGGAAATCTGGTTTTCTGTGAATTCAGATCATCTCTGAAAACAAAAGGGTTGAGTAGCTAACCTCTATGCACAATCGGTGTCATTTCCTGTGAAATTCAGGTCTTTGTGAGTGCTGAATGCTCTTGTTTTGCACCTACTGTCACAGCCCACCCTTCCCTGTCCTCCTGCAGCAGGGCTGGCTTTCTCTCCATGCTCACCGGTCTGTTGGGGGTCTGTGACCTGCCCTCACTGGGTGACCTGGACTGATGGCGCTCTGGGGATTCCCAGTCAGCCTGGGTCCCTCGCTCCTCTGAATTGCAGCGGGAGACATCAGGGGAGAGAAGATGCTTTCGCTCTTTTGATCGTCCCCGCTCCCTGCCCCCAGAGCGGTGGGTGTCGGACTTGTGGCCTATGAGAGATAACAAAAGCACCTGGTTATAATTCAGTTCACAGCAGCCACTGGAGATGAAGAGACGTCTCACTGGGTATTATGACACAGCCTGGGTTTGGGCCCTGGTATGGAACGTATGTTTGTCCCGATGGAGTTAGGAGGTGGGGACTTGGAGAGGTGATTAGGTCATGAGGGTGGGGCCCTCATGATGAGATTAGAATCCTCATAAGAAGAGACTTGAGAGAGCATGCTTTCTCTCTCTCCCTCTCTCTCTGCTCTTCATCACGTGAGGACAAAGAGAAGGTAGCCACCTGAAGAATAGGAAGTGGCACTTTGATCTCGGATTTCCCAGCCTCCAGGACCATGTCAAATAAATGGGTGTTGTTTAATCCACCCAGTCTATGGTAATTTGTTGTAGCTAAAACTCCCAGAAGAATCCTGGCTTCTCCAGGAATGTCAACAGATGATCTGAAAGGGAAGCAGGAAAGAAGGGCAGGCTTGAAGATTTCCTTTTTGTGAGCAGGTAAGTTTGCAAGTTGTCACTAGAGAGACATGTATGTCAAAGAATGCAATCTGTCCTCTTCTGCTTCCATTCATGCCATACACAATAAAGAAACTTTGCCAACAATATGGCTCAGGAACTGTCTATGTCCTAAGCATGCGTGTGTAACTTTTTTGAGGGAAGGTGGCACCAGCAAAAGGGAACTAAGAAGTTTCTATTAACTAAATAGTGACACAGCTAATGTAATGCCAGGGTATTGAAGTTAACGGATCTTAGTTTTAGTCCTAATTCGACCACTTAATGGCTCTATGATATGGGGCAAGTCACTGCTTTTTCTTTCTTTTTTTGAGTTGAGTTTCACTCTGTTGCTCAGGCCAGAGTACACTGGCATGATCGTGGCTACCGCAGATTCAACCTGCTTAGGTTCTGGCAATCCTTCCACCTCAACTTTCTGAGTAGCTGGGATTACATGCACATACCACCATGCCTGGCTAATTGATTTATTGTAGAAATGAGGTCTCGCCATGTTGCCCAAGCTGGTCTTGAACTCCTGGGTTCAGGCAATCCTCTCACCTTGTTCTCTCAAAGTATTAGGATTACAGGCATGAGCCACTGCGTCTGGCTGCTTTTTCAACTTTCATTACTTCATCTAGTAAAATAAAGAGGTTGAACCAGACTAATAGTTTTTTCTTTTTTTAAAATTGGTATAATACCCCCTTTCCTAAAATTAAAAACAAAACAAAACATTTAAATGAAACTCAAACACATAATGCTATTCTAGGTAGCACTGCTGTTTGGGTTGAAGTAGAGATGGTGGTTGAACCTCAGCCCCATCAGGGGGTCTCTAACACATTCCCATGGAACCCAGTGGTTTTGTAAAAGACTATTTGAAAACCTCCCTCAACTCGAATAATTTGTATAACCCTACTCCAGCAGGAAGGAACCAGCTTGTAATGAGTACAAAGAGCTCTGGGCTGTTTCAGGATGAAAGTCATACACAGGAATCCCTTTTGGTAAGGAGTATCTTTCACTTTTTTCAACCCTTGTCTTTATTGGAATTCTTTTCCTGTTATGTGCAGTCCTTGCCAGAATAAGTCTAGCAGGGCAGGAGCCCCTGCCTGACAAAAGCGTGGGATACAGAACACCCTCTCACCTGAGTCGGAGTTCAGGCGGTGAGCAGACAGTCGCAGGGAGGAGTGGTAACTCCGGCGACGGGACTTGTAAGTGTTTTCACTGCTTCTCTCCATGGAGAATTCCTCCAACCATGAGGAATTGGAACGCTTGTCCCGAATAGTGGAAAATGAACGTCTCATGGAGCTGGTATCTGTCACCACCTGAAATATGAGCCCCGAGAGAAACAAAAGATCTGGATTAATTATTGAAGAGGTCTAAAAGTACCAAGACCATGGAGGATGGCAAATTGTAACCCCTGCAATTGTAACCTCCTTTGAATCCCTTAGCTGGAGGAGACTGTTCAAGAAAGTGTCCTTCTATTATGTTAACACAGTCACTGAAACTGGTCCAGGATCTTCTTTTCATGCTCAAGAAAGCAAGCAGCTGAGTGTTCTAAGGCAGAGCCAAAAAGAATGCAGGCAGGCACTGTGTAAGCTTCCCACAGAGTCTTCTACCACTGGGCTCAGCCAGGACCTGCAGCAAATACTGAGTTGCTTTGAATATGTGAGGACAATTGTCCAAAAGGTTACATCATGAAAGAAGCATGGCTTTGCCTTTTAAAAAAAAATTTTAGGTCCCTGCCAGAGAAGGCCCTGCCCTATAGCACTAGAGCCTAGGAGAGCTTGCAATTTAACAGCTACTAAGAATGTATCACTCTCCCTCTACCACCAATCCCACCTAGCCCCGCCTTGAACTCTCACATTTTGATTTGCCACAGATGTTAAAACAAATCCACAAAAATTTCTTGTCTCTGTCAAAACCTGATGTAAGACAGACAGACAGAAAAGAGAAGCCAGGAAAACAGACAAAGAGATGAGGCGTGGCCTGCACTGGTTAGGACAGACAGTCCTGACAGAGCTGTGTGTGTAAATAACTGCATTTGTGCTGGAAGAGCCAGGGAAGGAAAAAAGGATGGAAAAATACACAGAGAAAATCCTAGGAAATATTTCTGGCATGGCTGGTTGAATCCTGAGAATGCTTAGCCACTCTGGAGGGAGTTGTCATTTTGCAGGCGAGGTTACTGTGGTTAGGGGTCACAGAAAACCGTGGAGGAGTGGGCTATATTATAGAAGGCCCATGAGCCAGGTTTGCTTCTAGGGAAGGAGTGGGGGCACGTCAAGGGTTCACCTCAAAATATCAGATATTATTTCACAACCCACCTAATACAGCCCGGGATGCCACTGAATTAAGGTAGGCGGTTGCTTTTTACCTGGGGATCCACAGTCAGACGTGGCATAGAGGATGCCCTCCCAGATCCCGCATGCTCCTGGGTGTCCGAAGGACGGTAGATGCCATGATTAGAGGGCGGCACGCTTTTTAATTCACTAACCTCTGGCTCCTGGAAATAAACACACAACCAAGCTTGTGGGACTTGGTTCCATTTTATTGCTTCTCACCTCCAGTGGATGATTCTGCCGCCTTGAGAATGGCTTTCAGAAGAGAGACTGGCATCTTCAAGATCTTAGTTGTATGTGTATACATGTGGGTGTGTCTATATGTTCATATAGGCAGTATACCAGATATCCCAAACTGGGACTGAGACAAGATCTACCAAGCAAATGCTTTAAATTTTATAGCTTTATAAAACAAACATTATTGGTCATCACATTTTTTAGATATGTGAAGTTTACTTTCTGAGAGGTGGTAGTATTGGGTTCATTCTTTTGCTCTGAAAAAAGTATTTTATAAATTAAATGGCAACCAGGATTCTAAGGGAAGTCAACAATTTCTGGTGTCAAATATATCTTCTCAAGCCTTAAGACACATGATTTTATTAGCTAAGAGTTTTCATATGATTGAAGCCATCCAAAGATGTGGTGGGTGGCCATCTGTCAGAGATGTTCTGAACTAGCACAGTCCCATAAAAGTATAATGCAAACCACTTATGTAATTTTTAATTTCAAAGTAATCACATTTTTAAAAGTAAAAAATATATATTTAGCTTAATATATCCAAATATTATGTCAACATGTTAGCAATATTAAAAAAACAGATAGTTTTATTTGGACTAGTCAAACTTCAAGTGCTAAGTAGCCACATGCAGCTAATAGCTGCTGTATTGGACAATGCCACTCTAGAGTGCTAGAAGGCTGGACTGGAAATCTCTAGGTTTCTGTCAAACTCTTTTGTTATTTTCCTGGGTAAAGAATGCAAGTTTGGCAGCTGTACATGCTCTATATAACTAGTGTCACTGCATAAAAATGGCGCTGCCTTAGAGGTGTTTCATGGGCCACCTAACAATGGGTGCTAAGAACCTGTTGAGTATATGGAGATTATGCATGAAAAAGCTATTTTATATTTAGGAAATGATACCCTGGCCAGGTGCAGTGGCTCAAGCCTATGATCCCAGCACCTTGGGAGGCCCAGGTGAGAGAATTGCCTGAGCCCAGGGATTCGAAACTAGCCCGGGCAACTTGGTGAGACCTTGTCTCTACAATATACCAAAAAATTAGCTGGGCATGGTAGTGCACGCCTGTAGTTCTGGTTATTTGGAAGGCTGAGGCAGAAGGATTGCCTGAGTCCAGCAGGTTGATGCTGGGGTGGCTGTGAACGAGCCACTACACTCCAGCCTGGGTGACAGAGTGAGACTCTGACTCAAAAAAAAAAAAAAAGGAAATGACACCCTAAAACTTGGGTGTATGAGTAGGGCATTGCCCAAGGGAAAGGGTGCCTGGGACCCGCTCAGGCTCCATGACCATTTGGTTGAGTGGTTTCTGGTGAGTACGAGACAAGTACCCTCTGGGGATGTGTGATGTGTGCACTGAGCGAGTTACAGTGTTTGCAGTACATGCTCTATACAGCACACAGTTCCGACTCCAAACAGATGTGATAACAACACTGCAGTCTACAGTTGTCAGAGGCTGTGTGAGACACACACACACACAAATCACAACCACGCCTCAGGATGTGTAGCAGGGGCCCTGAGGGATGGGCAGAAGTACACAGTGGTGAGTGTGTAGCACAGGCTGACACCTGAACTAAATTACAGACACCAGTGCTGACAATGAGATGAACACATATCCAAAAAGTCCTGGCACTACGGCTCAGCCCTGGGGAACCCGCAGAAAGGATGATGTAATAAAGTCTCCCTGTGAAAGAAAGGACACATTATTGAGATTTTTCTCGCCCCACTAGACAGAGCACCAGGTAGGCGAGCTGTAAAATACTGAGAGGCCCTTTTAAGAATCAAACTATCTTTACCAGTTAGTCCCTAGGCCTTGGTGCTAAGTTCCTCAGAGGGGAAGGCAGAGAATTACTCCAAGAATTCCGACCCACCTCACCATGAACACCCTCATGCAATTGCTCGGCGCTGGGGGTGTCTGGTCTAGCTGTCGCCCCCACACGACCAAGCACGTATTTCTGCCTCAGCACTCACCGAAGACAGAGCTCCCCATTTCTCTGAGCTACTAAAGTGTTTCTCCCCCTGAGGGGGGTGCCCATTTCATCACATATCATCTATTCAGGATGGCTAGGGGGTACACAGTAGCAGCGGGGAGGAATCAGGAGAGGAATGAAGGTGAGAGAAGAGCCACAAATGAATCATCATCAAAGTGATGTGAAACTCACTTAGCACAAGCTGTCTACACTAAATTTTGCAAAGGCTGGGCTTTGTCTTTTTCTCTTCAGCCCAGTGAACGCGTGAGCTTTAATTCTAAGCTTAGGGAGTAGGAGAACTTGAACTCATGGCTCCTGAACCAGGAATAATGGGCAAAGGTCATTCTCTTTGGGGATTGTATTTTAGCTTTGCATGAATAAAGCCAAAATTTCAGTCTACCCTCTCTTTTCCAAGCTTTAATTTGACTCAGTAGGTCCCTCAGGAATTTATGCATTTGAAAAACTCATTTTGGGATCAGAAAAGTGTCTTTAGAAGTCTGTTAGAATCCATTTGGCCTTATAGAATTATGACCAAAAGTGCCAATGTGCCTGAACCCACACAGAAAAGACGTCAGAGAGCTTCTGTACTTCCTGGCAGACAGCTTTGTCACTGTGACACATGCTGTCACTAAGTTCTAGAGAAGGAGGCATCACTAGGGGCTGGCATGGGGCATTCTTGAGCAGTACCTGGTTATACCAAAAGGCATGGCTGGTATCACTCACTCTATGAGAACTCATCTTAAAGTTCCCCATCAAAGACAAGATTTTACATGTGATTTTTGCTCTTACATTTGCTGTCCAGGGCCATAAGCTAAGAGGGTTTGGTCTGAAGCAATTTAAATTCCTGCAGCAGTAAGAGGCTCCGGAACTGTGAAACCCCAAGAGGGAGCATTGGAAAACTGGGCTATGAAAAGGCTAAAGACAGGAAACTCCAGGGTGACTGACTGCACTACCAGAAAGGTTTTCCTGATGGATCATGGCTATAGGACAATAATTTGAAAATGAGAGTAGGAGGAATCTGAAAACTGAGGAAGTCTTTTTTGAGGTCATAGAACGCATTCATTCACCAGAGACTGCTGCTCCTGGAACTGTCCATCATCGGTGGGGTCCATACAGGCCAACTGGAATATTTCCTGGGGGGAGAGTGGACTCATCGAAGGGTATCCACTCCGGCCACTCCTGAAAAGGAATGTCAAATTCAGAGGTAGTGAGGGACAGTGAGAGGGACAGTCACACTGCAGCTGCCACTAACAGCCCCCCCCCAGTCATGACCTCCTTCCCAACAGGGCAATACCCGTTAGCCTTGGCTGGCTTGTTAGCCTGGTAATTTATAGGTGGCTAGCCCTGAAATTAAAAAAAAAATTTTTTTAAAAGCACTGGAAAAGAGAGAAACTGGTGTTTTCAACCTTCATTTGGAACCATTCATTATTCTGCTGGCGACTAGCATATCTGTGACAAATGACATCATTTGTCACACTCAGCCATATGGAAGACCAATGCTAGATTGTAAACCTGTTTCTGCTCAGTTTCCCCGTTTGGCGGAAAAATACCATAGTTTACACAGTGAACAGTTTGTTTAAATATTAAGCAGCCATGGTCTTTTAAAAAAATTTCCCTGCTCTCAGGAAGAATATGGTTTTATTGTGCCAACATTCCTGGCCAAACTAAACACACTTTAATCCAAGTCAATCCCATCAACGTTTATCAAATGTACTATACACTGTGTCTGTTGGTTCATGAATGGATAGAGTAATTTCAGAGGTAGGTATTCAGGAGGTACAAACCTCTGGGTAGATGACTATGTAGGAAGGGTTTTTTTTTTTCTTTCTGAGATTGGGGTCTCACTCTGTTGCACAGGCTGGCACGCAGTGGCACAATCCCAGTTTACTACAGTCTCAACGTCCTGGGCTCAGATGATCCTTCTGCCTCAGCCTACCAAGTAGCTGGGACTGCAGACACATGCTACTGTGTCTGGTTAGTTTTCAAAATGTTTGTAGAGACAATGTATCTCCTGGGCTCAAGCGATCCTCTCGTCTTGGCCTCCCAATGCTGGGATTACAGGCATGAGTCACTGTGCCTGGCTAGGAATAGGCTTAAATGGTAGTGAGAGAAGAGGACAGGATCATGGTTATAGGACAATAATTTGAAAATGAGAGTAGGAGTCTACCGAGTATTCAGAAAGGTCTCCAAGTAAAAGTTATGGAGCACTATCACAGTGGGCTTGTTATTAAACTACTGTCTGGTACTTCCAGATACTCTTAGCCAATGGAATCTACTGGGCTTGTTAGGAGAGAAAGAGGTAGCTGACCTTTCCTGAGATTTTGGCTTCTGTTGCCATCCACTGCCACCACTATGGTAATAGCTACCTTCTCACCTGCTCAAGAATGCAGAGTGAGCTTCCAGACTATGGGAGCAGAGACTGAGGTCAGTGGCTAGGCAGCAGCTTTGTCAGTGGTGGAACTAAGAGGGAGAGAAGGGACCATCTCTTCTAGTGTTAGTCTTCTGCCACTTCATAGTTGAGTCTACTGTTGATGACTCTGCATCCCAATGGAAAACTCAAGGCTCAAGCAAGGATCACCAGTTACTAATAATCCATAAGTACAATCTTACTTAGATCAGCATCATAGGAAAAGGTCTGAATAGCATACATCACCCTGTCTGTCTGCTTGCTGCAGTGAGGGCTTAAGCTGAGTTTTCACGACTGTTATGAAGTGATCTGACATTTTTTTTTTTTTTTTGAGTCGGAGTCTCACTCGGTCACCCAGACTGGAGTGCAGTGGCCGCTCCCGGCCACCGCAGCCTCGACCTGCCGGGCTCCGGCGATCCTTCCGCCTCAGCCTTCCGAGTAGCCGGAATTACAGGCATGCACTACCACGCCCAGCTGATTTTTTGATTTATTGTAGAGATGAGGTCTCGCCGCCCAGGCGGGTCTCGAACCCGCGGGCTCAGGCAATCCACTCACCTCAGCCTCCCAAAGGCGCGGGATGACAGGCTGAGCCATCGAGCCCGGCGGATCTGACGTTTTAATAACCTGTCTACGTGTCAGTCATCTTAGTGCAGCCTTTTCCTGAGAACCACTGGGAACAAGATGAGCACAGCTAGTGTAAGAAGTGGGCTCCTTTTTGCCCTACAGAGAGTGATTAATTGTGGAATCTCTGATAGGTAGAAAGGGCCCTTGGAATCTCTGAAGCATCTGAGTCAAATAATTTGAACTCAAGAGTGATCTCCTACTTAAAAAACCGTATCATGCTTCTCATTGTTTTGGGGCTATAAAGTCCACAATCCTGAACACAGCCTCTCTCATGATCTGGTCCTGACCTCACTTGCCTCCTCTTGCACCCTTCCCACCTTTGCACTCTGAATTCCAGACACACTGACCTTTTTTAGTTTTCATTGAAGGTGCCAGGCTTCTTCTTTCTGCCTCAAGACTTTAATAAAGGCCATTCTTATCGTGCAGAACACTTATCTTTAAACTCCCCATCCCCACAAACCCTTACCTTGTTATTTTAAATTCATCTTATAGTGCAGAACACTTATCTTTAAACTCCTCATCCCCACAAACTCTTACCTTGTTATTTAAAATTCATCCTTAAAAATTTATATCAAAAGATATTTCCTTAGGAAACCTTCTCTGATATTTCCCAGCCCCCACAGCTGATCGGACATCCTTCCTACATGCACTCTTATCTTGTTGCAGTTTTTCTTTCTAGCACTTATCAAAACTGTAATTAAATAATTGAAAAAAACTTTTTTCTTTCAAATAATTCCCTGCCTAAGGTCTGGTTTTCCAGTAGATGAAAGCTCACTGAGGGAGGGCCCTGTATGTCATGGCTGCCACTGTACCCCCAGAGCAATCTCTACTTGAACAATGCATGGCTCTAGAAACTCAGGTGGTCCTGAGGAACTAGTCTACTGTCCCAATAATGTTCCCATTTCAGAAAATGTACCAACATCCACCCAAAGGCTTCAACCAGAAACTATCCCCTTCACTCCATGTAGCAAATTACCAAATCCTATCCATTCTACCTACTAAATATCTCAAGTCCCACCATCTCTTCCCATTTCTATCCTGTTAGTCCAAGCCACAACCACTGATAATCTATACAACTGCAGTAACCTACTAAATGGTGTTCCTGTGTCTAGAATTGCTCCTCTCTGATCCATTAAGTCTGCATAGCATTCAAGAATGCACAAATTTGATTACATCATTCTGAAAAGCACAAATTTGATTACATCATTCTGATTCATAAAACCCCGTTATTCCAAGACAAAATCTAACTTCTTTATCCTGCTTATAACTCCTCCAGAGTCCTGGTCCCTGTGTTGCTCTCCAAACCCGTAACTTACCACCTGCCCTGAGCTCTCTGTGCCCCAACTATCTTGACAGTTCTTAGGTTCCCTAAACTTACCATGCTTTCTCTCACCTCTCTTGAAGAGCTTGTCTTCAACTTTCACTTAAATGGTACTTCTTCAGGGAGACCTCCCCAAACGCTCAAACTGGGTGACCTTCTTCCTTTACCTGATATCACAATAGCCTACCCTTCCACATTTTGGCCTATATTGCTCTTTTAGTTTCTTCTTCCAGATTGTCTACATGGGTACTATGATCATGTTCACTGCTGTCCCCAAATACTCAAGCCAGTGCAGGGGCCAAAATGGCTCTTATTACATATTAGTAAAATCAATGAGTAGATAAATCAATAAATATAAGAGAGAAGCCAGAGTGATCCCATTGTATGGGTTAACTTGAATAGCAAATTGTTATAGATAAAACAGGTCTCGATTGGGAGAGGGGTGTTTCCATTTCTCAGTCAAGGTCCTGTATAAAACAGTGTAAACCCTTCCAGTCAGTAGGTCTTACTGCTCCAGTCTTACCTCTTTCCCTCCCTCCTGCATAGACCAAAAATAGACATCTACTTGTTTCTGTGGGCAGAAGAATTCACACCCTGCTACCTTATCACACTGAATTGTTTATAAAAATGACCAGTAGTCTTGGTCATGACTCTGGTCCCTTTTTTCTTTTCCAAATGTGTTAGGTTGTGACCTCAGAAAACAATGTTTCCAAAAACAGATTCCCGACACTGCAGGCAGAAAGAAATTAACGGTGTGAGCAATTCCAAATGGCTTCTGACAGAGGTCTCATTCCCAAGCCCTGGATATCACCCTCCTGATGATTAAGATACACTATTTACTGAGCACAGGTTCCATAAGAACTAGAACTTTGTTAAACCCAACCACAAAAACTCATTTACATTGAGTAGAGGGACTCATGCTCCTTGGTTGCTCACGACATGCTTGCTGATGATAAAAAGATAATGCTACAATGAGATATGTATGTCATCATAAATTATTTATGGTTAATGACCAAACTGGGGCTAAAGCTTATAACTCAGAAGAACCGGAAAATTCCTTGATGAGGGCTTTATTTCCATTGCCATTACAGAAAATTAAAAATAGACTTTTTGTCTGATCTAGGGCCCCTTTCGTTCATTATAGAAAACATGGTGTAGTGCAAAGACTCTGGGGCCAGAAATAACTGATCTAAGTTCCAGTTCCACGTCCTACTAGCCATATGGCTTTGGACAACTGAGTTAACCTGTCTTTGTTTCCAGTTTCTTCATTTGTAAAGTGGTGATATTAATATATACTGCCAGGGTACAGTAAGCTTCTATAATAAGAATCAAGTGAGATCACACAAATAATGTCTCTAGAAGTGTCAACCTCCAGGAAATCAGTAACCACTGGTTCTCTTTCCCTTTTCCACTCAGCAATCCTGACACTGTGAGGGTGGGTCTGTCTTCTAGCCCAACACCAGATCCACAGGAAAGAGATAACTGAGAATTAGGTAGGAGAGGATTATTCTTCACCACAGAACTACAACTAAGACCCTAGTATGTTAAAAGACAAGTCAAAACTTTCTTATCCCACTGTCTGTAATGGCTGTCTCTGAAGCTGGTCATTATACTAAACATGCTTAGTTTACCATTGTCTCACCCCTGCTGAAAACCCATTTGAAGATACTCAACTTCAGAGAAAGGATCACTGTTTAGAATAATATTCTTAGGTGCTTCTGGGCAGTGAGTTTACAGGCCTGCCCCAGGGCCCAGGTGACAGGATGCAGGCAGCAGTGCTACGGGCCCTTTGATTCTACTCACAGGCCTGAGACAGGGTCCTGCTGGAGGTAAGGTAGGGCTTTGGCATTAGCAATGATCTCCTGAGGCAAAGATGAGGGCTCCATGCGCTGGAACATGGGTGCATTTTTCTGTGTAAAAGGGGGAGGGAGAAGAAAAAACTCCAATTATTTCCTGGAGCCTGCTGTGGAGGAAATCCAATTTACTTGGATAACATAGACCATGACTGATACCTTGTTTGACTATTTTAGCTGCTGTGTGTCTAATCCCATAGTTTCTAATCCCACATTACTACATAGCTCCTAGGCCCTGTACCACTTAACACTACTACTTTTTCTGTTTTTAGAGACAGCGTCTCACTCTGTTACACAGACAGGAGTACAATGACGTGATTATAGCTAACTATAACTTTGAATCCTGGGCTCAAGTGATCTTCCCATTTCAGCCTCCCAAGTAGCTGAGACTACAGCTGTGCCACCACATCAGGTTGATTTTTAATTTTTTTGTGTGTGCATGTGTAGAGACAGGGTCTCACTATGTTGTTCAGGTTGGTCTTGAACTCCTGGCCTCAAGCAATTCTCCTGCCTCAGCCTCTCAAAGCATTGGCATTACAGACACGAGACACCATGCCTGACTTTTATTGCTGCTTCTAAGTGCTTGCAGGTCACAGGGAACTAAGCCTGTCCCCTAACATGATTCCTTGTGGCCCGTCCACCCACCCAGCATACCAGCATTGAGCTTCACCTGTTCCTCCAGCTGCTGCCTCTGCTTCTTCACCTTGCTCTGCTTATAGTAGTCCATGATCATCATTGCTGCATAAATTTTGCCCACAGTCAGGTCAGAGGCTAAAAACACAAAGATGGCATGCTGATGAACAGGCAGAAGAAGATGGGGGAGAGTGGGGATGCCTCCAAGCTCTGTTCCACTCTCTGGAACAGGATTGTGCCCTCATCACCCATTTATCCAACATTTGTTGAGGGCTCCTCATGCCAGGCTCGTAGGATACAAAGTGAGTAGTTCCCCAAGACTATCATCAGAGAGCTTATACCACCCGACGATGGTGAGGACACCAAGGAAGAGCAGTGCATTAGTGAGCATCACCTCTACTAGTCCAGATCTCCACATCTATGTAGCAACACCCTTTCTCCAATGAGGGCTTGTTGAACAGTATTATGCAGAGGGAGGGAGCCATATAACCAAGAAGTTTCATCCAAAACCACAGGAGCCCATCTTAAGAAAATTTTTTCAATCAATACAGTAAGTCCCTACATACAAATCTTCAAGCTATGAACTTTCAAAGATGCAAATATGCATTAGCATTTCCAATCATGTAAGTTAGTTCACATGTCTGGTGTACATTGTCAGGTGCATGCATCTTTAATGTATCGTACTGTATAGAGTACAGTAGTACAGGATCTTTATTTCAAGCCCAGGATGTCTGGAAGCAAGCATAAAAGCAGTAGTGATGTAGCTGGTACTGTACTATACAGCCAATTGTGTTAGATGGGTACCTAGGTTAACTTTGTTGAACTTATGGACAAATTGGACTTACAACTGTGCTCTTGGAACAGAATTTATTTGTATATAGGGGTCTTACTACAAGGTCAAAAGGAACTTAAGAAGTGTGTGTGGGATGGTGTTAGTTTCTCAAGGATAAAAAGGAAACCTTCCCTTATCTCCTTGATTGTTATGGGTTTCCACAAAAGATGTAACCTGGGCCCACAGAGACAAGGACACCCAGGAGGAGGCCCACACCTTTGGGCATGGGCACAAGCAGGTCCAGCATCTTCTGGGAAAGGTGAGGCCAAATGGCCAGGGTCTCCTTTTGTAGCTCCGAGTCTAGCTGCTGCCTGTCTGCACCACCTAGAATGAGATAAATGATTAATAAATAAATCAGAACAGACCCAGAATAACAAGGACTGAGGGAGTACGAGGGGGTAGGAGCTGAATCAGCATGGCACCTCATATTCTGAGAGGAAATCTTGGCACTTAGTGACAGTAGATCTTGTAACCCAGGTCTTTCTGCTGAAGAAGCAGAACACATCTTGGCTCCCATTTTCAGTGACTCAGGGATATCCTGCCAAGAGATCTGAGGCCCTGAGACCAAGATCTACTTTCTCATTGATTCTAAAAGCCTCCCAGATGCTCAATATATCAGAGGGGAAAATAAAAGTAGCCATGAGTACACTTCCCTTGCCTCATTATATGTATATCCATCTTTCCAGCAACTCTAAATCCATAGTCTGAGCAGCCTGGTTTTAAATAGGATTTGGATCAGGCAAGAGCAAAAAGTTAAAGATTCATTTGGAAGTAGTAAACCTCTTCTCTCCTAAATCAATGAATTAGAAATCCAGAAGAACAAAATACTGCTATGGCCTCTACAGTAGTGAAGCAGGCATAGTTAACGTAAGTTAGAAGTAGTTAGGCAGATTTTCTTAGGTAGATCTAATTTAGAACAGGGTAAGCATTCAGACATCTTTCTTATTGATACACAACCTTCACCTTGAGGACTGGAATGTGGAACTACCAGTATAGTAAATCATAGAAACAATCAGAAGTTACCAAAAACACAGACATGATGTTCTAAGAAAAGCCCAAATCTAGTTAGACAGTAACTTCCATTATTTAGAAGGTCCTTGGGATCTTAAAAGGTTGAGAGATGGCAAAAAAAATTCATGACCAGGTACCTGCAGTCCTCCACTCTTAGCTCATAATTTGCTTAATCATCATTGTAAAAGTATATAAAGCTTCTTGTCAAAGCTAAGCACGTGCCCTCTCCTAAGGCACCCATGCTCTTAAACATTCTTTTTCTTTCTCATACATTCTTTCTTAAACTATGCTTTAGGCTCGCTCTGAAATTCTTTTCAGTGGTGAAATCAAAGAACTCATGGAGCAACTACATTGCATCAATAGCACCTGCTACAGAAAGTTTCCAAGACTTTAAATAAAAGATACCATGTAAGAAAAAGGGTACAAATTTTAAAACTGCATAGTCAATAAACAAATATTTCTTGAACATGTTCTGTATGCCAGACACTGAAGCTCATACACTGTTAAAGCTGCAAAGATCCTTAGAGATTATCAAACTGTTTTACCAGGAAGAAATGGTAAATATTATAGTTATTGAGTCTCAAAGATGAAACTGGGATGCTGATACATGACATTCAGGTCATCGCACTGTTGTGTCCTTAGCTGGATGGATGATAGTCTGAGTATCTCCATCCTGTAACACTTGCACAAGTTGTTCCAAAACTCATCCTCCTTCCTAAGCTTACCTTTGGCAATTTTAATGTCCAGAGCTGTACGGATCAGAGCCATAAGTGTGGAGGTGAAGTGAACCGTCATGTCCTCAGCTACTGGCATGTTCATCAGGACCAACCTCTGCGTGAAAGAGAAAGAAGAAACAGCAGGCAAAAACAAAAAAGAAAGAAATGTGTCTCGATGAGAAGAAAAGAAAAGTGCAGAGGTCAAATGCACAGACAAAAAAGAAGGGCAAGGATCCCCTTCCCCAGCCCCAGTCCTTCTCTCCCTGTTTCTCACTCAAGCCTCATTTGCTGCTGGTCCCCCCCCCCCCGGAATGATGCCAAATTCCAAGAGAAGGGGATTCCCTAATCATTCTGTAGGACTCCCCCTTAGGGGGGAGTCCTAAGAATATCTTTGATAGAGATAGGAAGTGGTTTCTGAAAGAAATGGCTCAAGGAAAGGAGTCAGCTTGGGGAAGTGGTTTCACTCCCTGTTTCAAGGCTGCTCCATGTTTCCACATGTCCCATGAATATTCCCAAAACTCAGATGGGAATATAGTGAGGAGGGAGATTTTGCTTTGCTTATCTGACTTGAAAGATGCATCCTGGTGCCCCCTTTTTGAGTCTTTAAAAAATGAAATTTGCCAGCACATGACTGAACATGCATAAGTCCAACTTATCAAAAGGATGAGGTGGAGCAGGATGAACAAGGGAAGAGTGCAGACAGGCTCTGGGGGAAGAGGATGGGAAGAGCGGAGAGAACAAGAGAAGGGTGGCCCAGGCAGGAGCAGAGTGGGCAGGCCTTATTCCCCTTACCCGAAGGAAGGGATCACACTGAAATGGCCAAATCCACTTTCCAGAGAGTATCTTGCTTTTGGGGTTCTTTAACTTTTCCCCCACTCCTCTTCTCCCACCAATCTTCATCCCAGAAATTCAAAGAATTCGAGGCCACATGCCACCACCTGGTACTTTTAGATGTGGCCATTGTGAGCAAAAAGGATGCCAGCCCCTAAGCTGTGCACAAGGGGCCATGTACTGGGGTGGGTGAGAGTCCCTCATGACCACGTCCCAGTGAGATGCTCTCTGGAGCTATACATCTTGAGGCAGCAGCAGGAGAAGGTCCTCTGGCAGAACCACCAGCCTGGCAGGGAGGAAAATGCCTCTTCCCAAGGCAAGGTCTCTAATGTGTCACTGGAGCATATTGCCTAAAGCGATGCCACATGGCATCTTAAAGTGGAAAGCCAGTTTCTTGTTGGGATCTGAGATCCATCTCTCTCCCACTTCTTTAAAATTCTAGAGAAGTGGCAACATGACTATGATGTGTTCCTGGGTGAGTGAAAGAGCTCCAAAGTTTTGGGTCAGTCTAAACATCAAAAGGGAATTAACAGTAACTATTACCAACGGGTAGAAAATCAAATCAGGTCCCAAAGCTGTGAGCACTCTAATGTCAGATGATTCTCAATGTACTGTGCTCTCTCTGCAAGTCATGGGGAATCCACTCATAACTGCAGGGCTAGATCTCATACTTCTGCTATGCCAGTAAGGCAAATCAATGCTAAATGCAACTGGTGCCATTGTTGCCCATTGTTTTATTGAGTATTTCCAAGAGAACTGGGTAATTGGGCTAATGGGGGAATAAAGTTGCATTCCTCCATCTACCATAGGATAGAAGACAGGATCCTCTCCCGTTTTTATACCTAGAAGGAAACTATGCCATCATTCCTTCCTATGTCACGAGGGAAGACATTTGTGAAGAATTTTCCTCTCTCCTAAAAATTTCTGGAACCATGTTTTGAGGAATTTCTGCATTATCTCCCTAACTTGTCTGATCGAAGATGTTTCTTTTTGTTTTAGAAACATTGATAGCCTCCTTCTTGCCTGTGCACACTATCCCATAGGCCACCACTCTGCCTCCTCTAACAGGAAACACACCACTTAACACTGCCTTTCTAGTAAACCCCTCACAAGAAGCCACACACTTGCAGAAACACAAGGTAACACACAAAACACCCCATTTTGAAGAGCATTGCAAACCATTCCTTGATTTATCTCATGACCTCATCCTTCCGTGAACCTCCCTAACTCTTCCATTTCATCGTTTCTTTCTTCCTTGGCTCCCTCCTCGGCCTCCCCAGCCCGGCTTCCTCCCCATGTTCTGGCCTCCCCACAACTAGATCCCGGTTCCTGTTGGTCTCTAGCCCAGAACAAAGGAAGGGATGGTCTACCTTATATGCCACTTTGGAGGGACATCTCTTGCCGAGGCCTAGCGGAGGTGACATGAGAGTCAGCATTTCATACATCTCAGTGTAATGGATGCGGCCACTGCTCATGGAGGTAAGTTGGGATGGGAGGGTTAGCAGGTAGGGAGGTGGCAGAAGAAGGAGAAGGAGTCGGGGCAAGGATGCAGACAGGGAGGAAAGGAGAACAGGCATTCCCAGAGAGCAAAAACAAACAAAATACAGAAAACAGGAGAAGAAAAACAAAACAAAATGGACAAACAGGAAAAGAATAGGAAACCTGTTAATCAAGGCAAATCGTACACATGACTCCATCCTGGTGCAGATTTATATCACGCCCCACACAGACCCGGGAACACAACAGCGGTCTTTGGTCCCTATGCCATGGGGACTCAGTTTCTTCTCCTTGATTAGTGCTACCCTGACATCCCTGATCACCTCATCCATCCCCAATATAATGCAGCATATTTTTTATACCCAGGGCTGTGTGTGAGTGGTATAAACCAGATAGACGGTGCTCCGGCCACAGGTTGGAGCTTCTGACAGCAGGGCCTGGGGTGCCAGCCTGGAAGACAGGCTTATCTTCTCCCCGAAACCCACAGGCGGAACATCGTGTATCCCCCCTCTGTGGTGTGTGTGCAGCAGGAGGTGGCGTCTCGCACTGGAGATAGTAGGCTATGGCTGCTGGTCAGAGTCGGCCCGTTGCTTCCACCTGGCTCTGTGGACAAGACTGCTCTTTATCCCCAGCACACGCCAGGTCAACGGCATGCTGGGGACAGAAGAAACAAAACCAGGAGGAGGAAGAGCATCTTGCATGCCATGCTACCCTCCCCAGCTCTCCCGCATGCGACTGCAGGTTTCACCAGGGTGGAGTTTAAAGAGTCTCAGCAGAGGCCTCCTGAGGACGGAATTGCCGTATTACCATCCCAGGCCAGCTCCGTCCCATTGCCCAACCCAGCATCCTTCCTGAGCCTGTGTCTTCCTCCAGCTGCCCAGGCAGTGGAGCCCATACTTCCCTCCACTAGCACCAGGAGAGGGGTCCTTATCTAGCAGGTGTGGCCTTGCATAGGGGTTCACAGACCCACTGGGATGCAGAAAGTTCCCGGGGTATGGCACAGCTGAAAAGGGGGGTCCTATGCACCCCTGAACAATTTCCTTGGTCTAACCAACAAGAAGTGACTTGGCAATTATGGCAGTCCCCTCACAATAATATTTGGAAAGACTCTAAGGTAAGGAATTTGCTCAGCAGCCCTTCATCTACCGAGTCCTTCCAGACCTTCTGGCTATTCTATTTTTCCACAGACCACCAAATCCATGCCCCTCTTACCCACTCTCACCTCTTGCCCTCTCTCTTTGATTCTCACTCCCTTTCTGTCCTGTAGCTTTTATAGTCACTTCTGACCATGCTATCCAGGAGCTGGGAGGGTGGACAGAAGTTGAAATCACTAGAATCACACTTTGATACATATACATGGGAAGATGATGATGATATTTTGCTAAAACAAGGCTTTTCTGTCTCCAGTGAAGGGAAGCCAGAACTCTTTGCAGGATTAAAAAGAATTTTGCATCCCGTGGAGGATGTAGAGGTCCCTCTGGTTCAATGCACACACTAAAGTGAACCAGAGTGTGGCGTGTGTATGTGTGCATACATGAGTATGTGCATGTGATGAAGAGAGAGATCAAACTGGTCTTCATATGAAGCCCTTAACTCATCTCTGCCTTCTTCCCCCAAGTGTGCCCTTCTTCCTTGTGTAATAGCTGCTGGTTCTGGAAGGGTTAGGACCTCTTTAAACTCAAAGAAAAGCGACATGAACGTTCCCTCATGTGGCGCAGTGGTGGTGGAGCAGAGGACAGAGAGGAAGGTTAGATGTTGCATCCCACAGCAGGTCACAGCTGAGGACTGGGAGGCAAACCTTGCAAGCCACCCTGTAGGGGCAGTTCTCTCCCAGGCCCAGAGGAGGCGAGATCACCCGCACTAATTTGTACATATCCTTATACGGGATCCTGCCGCTGTAAAGGAAGCACAGGTGGGTTAATAGGGCACTCACAGAAGGGTGGGGAGGAAATGACAGCTCAGCCATGAAGGGGATGGCTGCAAGAGGAAAGAGCAGTTTCTTTCCTTGGGCCTGGAAAAACCAGACCGGGAGGGGCTGGGAACTGTAGGCACCAGAGAACCATTACCTTGTCCAACTGCACTGCTCAAATGTTCTAAGAAAATTAGAACCCATCCAATGCTAAAAGGAACTGCCTAATGACCAAGAGCTCCCCAAGATACCTATCTGGCCCAGACCTTGCCAGATACAGCCACAGCCCTGGCTCTAGCTAGGCTTCTAAGGACAAAGCCTGCCAAGTCACAAAAGACACGGCTGTGAAGTGGACACAGAACTGTTTGCTTTTCACAGACACTGTTTCCAGTCTGTTACTCAGAGCCACTTGTTGGGGTTAGTGGGAAGTCGGTAGCCTTCTGCAAACTGAGAAACAAATTTCCCATTAGGCGGATTAGTGAGAAACACAGTTGGCACGAGGGAATTCACAAAGGGCTTTGCTTCTTTTTGTCACAGCTCTTTCCTGAGTTTGGCTTGAATGAGTCTTCTCTGCTCTGTGGGAGCCTGCTGGAGTCTGTATTCAGAGCAGCCAGGAAGGAAACTATAAGCTCTCCCCCAGCTCCCCTTCCTGCCACCCAGCCCACAACGGCTTGACTGGATCCAGTCAGAATTTCAGAAACCATGTGACCTACCTTTCCAACCCCTCTTTCCCAGGAGCCTGCTAGAGAGTTCTGGAAGGGTTAGAGTTAGCAATTGATTCATTTTCAGTGGCTAAAGCCTCTTCCCTGCCAAAAACCAGAAAAAGGAAACAATGACCAGGAATCTGCAGGTCTGAATGCACCCTAGTACAAGACCAGGGTTTCCACTAGAAACTACCAACATGGTGTCTCCACCTCTGAGCATTCAGTCCCTGCCGGCAGCCACGTCAAGATGAGTGCTTCACCCCAGCTTCACTCTTTCTGGAATTTTTTATAGATCTGGGAGCTGGCTCCTCCCGTTCCTTCAGATAGAAGCTCATCAGCACCTCCAAGTCTCTTGACTCTTGAAAGGAGGTCATTTCAGTAATTTAAATATCTGTTTCTGGTTTTTGTTGTTGCTGTTGTTTTTGTGTGAGACTGGGAGGTAGTTGAATTGGCAATTGCTCTCAGCTGATGTTCTTGCAACCTGTATCAGTCCTCCTTGTGAAGCAGTTGGCTCAGTTTACTTTTTTTTTTTTTTTACCCTCCTTTATAGAGAAAGCCAATACAACTCTAAGCAACACGAGTTCTGCTGACTGTGAATTTCAAAGCAGACAGAAGAGATTCTCCTTCGTCATTTTGCTCTTTCCCAGTTCATATGTCTGAGTCTTGTGGTTGGTCCTTATGGAATCATTTCTTCCCAGCAGCTGCAATGAGTGTGGAGGAGCATGTTTCATGCATATAGTGTCTGGATCCCAAGATAAGTGAAACCACAGGAAGCTGGGGATTCTGAGAGCTAACGACACCTGAGTGAGGCAAGATGAACAATGGATTCCTTTGCTTGCGGTTGGTTTCTCCTTGCTCAGGTCAGTGAAGAGGTCTCTTCTGAGGCTCCCAATTCCATGGTCATCCAGGCTTTACAGACACTGATTTTCACACATTCCAAGTTATATTCCCATATGGTTACTGTCGATTACAGTAACAGTTACATGCATGATTTAATATCCTCACAACCACTCTTCAAGATAGGTAGGCATCAGCACCATTTTACAGATGAGGAAACTCAGAGAGATTAAGGCCAAAATCACAGAGCTGAAGAGAGGCAGGCCTGGCTGTGTTCTCCTTTGACATACTACCCCTGTTGCTTTCTAAGAACTGTCTACTAGAAAGTGAGCCCAGAGTGTAAAAGCTGTTGCTCAGCCATTGTAACAGGAATGGAGTTAAATAACTCTGTACCCTGAATCATTAGTAATTACTGAGAAGAGGAATTCTGATTCACCTTTCCAGCCCCTAAAACAGTGACCCAAGTTCAACAGCCTCACAAAACAGATGGGGGAAGAGTCTCTGATTATGAAAAGGGTTCCAGGTGGAAGCAACATGGCCCATTTCTGTGAAGGATAACATTTCTTATAGTATTTTTAGAGGGGGACCAGAATGGATAGACAGTGAGTTAAGAACCAAAAGCTAAGATGGCCTGGGACTGAAAAGTTTCCCTGGGGTGAGCATTCGTAGAACGCTCACCCCGTCTTCAAACACAAGGGCCAAAATGCTGCCTTTGCTCTCCAAAGCAGGGGTCAGCAAATACTTCTGGCAGTATATTTTTTGACAGCAAAATTTCAATAGTAAATATGAGGGGGACCCAAAAAACCCCTGCAACCTATTTATTAAAAATTATGTACTTATTCTTACATGTTTAAGCTTCAGTTATGTTCTAAGTACTCTCCATTTGATGTAATATGCCTATCAAGATGCTTTTTCCACTGGTCAAAACAGTTTTTGAACTCGTCAATTTTGATACCTTTTAGTGCTTCTGCCATTTTGTGTTTCACTTTTCCACGCTGGCAAAATGTTTCCCTTTGAGAACTTTTTTCATCAGGGGAAACAAACAAACAAACAAAAAGTCGCTTGGGGCAAGATTAGATGAATAGGGAGGGTGGGGCATGGGAATCATGGCATTTTTGGTCAAAAACTGCTGAACACTCAGCACAGTGTGGGCAGGTGTGCTCATAAATCACCCATCCTCTTACAACAATGCTAGCTGGTACACTGATGCTGATGGGTTCCCAGAACACTTACCTAGCAGGGGAAGCCTGTACTACAAGAGGCCCACCCTCCAAAAAATAATTCTAGTTTGTTTGGGAGTCCCCGCTAGTATTTTCAAATTAGAGGGTCCTACCATCTCTGCCATAACCACTTAACTCTTCCTTATAGTGTGAAAGCAGCCAGAGATAATACTTAAGTGAATGGTTGTTGTTGTGTTCCAATAAAACTTTATTAGCAAGAACAGACAGTGGGCCAAATGTAGCCCATGGGCTGTAGTTTGCCAACGCCTGCTCTAGAGTCCAGAAGGTACCAGCATCACTTCAAAACTATTGGACAGTGAAAGAGACAGTAAAGAGGTTATCCTCGCCAACTCCTGCCATTTAATTTAATTCCATGCCATAAAATTTCACAAGTGTTTAAGGGAACAGCTGGAAGAACAACTTGTTAGGTTTTTTCAAAAAAAATATTTAGAGTTATATCCAACTGTATCTGTCGAGAGGGATGAAAGGGATGAAACACTAATAGTCACTGGTCATAGTGGCCAAATGTCCAGCCAAAACAAAACAAAAAACCCTTGTCAAATCCTCTGGTAACTCAAAGGATTCCACTAACCATTGGCAGGAAAAGAAAGAGAGATTATTGGAAGCTCCTCTTGGGATTGAACCCAAACAATGTGAGGTGAGGAATGAGAGGTGAGATTGTCAAAGAAAGACAAAAGCCTGTCACAGAAGGAAAGAGAGGGTAAAGGAAGATAAAGACGACACATCTTTGGTGACTGGCCCGATACCCTCTTCCATGGGCCACAACTACGAGGAATCTCCTTTCCTTCTGTAACAGGCAGGCATTCAGGAGGCTCCAATTCCAGCCTCTTCCCTAAGAGCCCTAGAGGCCCTTGCTCTGGGCCTTGCTGCTCTACGCACCATGCAGCTCTGTCATATTCTGCCCAGACACGGACAAACTCATCCAAGTGGTGAGGTCCCAGGATGGAGGAGTCCCGAGTCAGATACTCAAAGTTGTCCATGATGACGGCCACGAACAGGTTGAGCATCTAAAGGGCAAGCGGAAGAGGAGGAGTTAGGCAAGACCTAAAACAGACCTTGGGAAGCAGAAAAACAGGTTTCAAGGCAAATAAAATAATTCTACAGTTCACAAGGCTGAAGCTCCTATCTAAAGTACTACAGATTTTGCCAAATGCAACACGTTTTCCCTGTTTGTACCACATATCTTATTATGTGAGCATTATTTCATGTTTCCATGCCACTTCATATTTGCAAAGTACTCCACAGTTGCTTGTATGATCTGTTCGATTTATTTGTTGCTGTGGCAGCAGAGGGAACAGCAGCAGTTACAGCGTTCTTGAAGGCTAGGGGAGGCCAAGGCCAGATGCCAACTTTCCCTCTCCAGTTCCTCCTTCATTCTTGCTCCACAAAAGGAGCTCAAAAGACAACAGGCAAGGTGTCTTGTGGTGATGGCATGGCTTACTGCGTGATGACTTGAAGCTGTTCACGGCTCTTAAGACACTTCCAAGAACCTGCTCTCTCACTTACTTGTCAGTTAACCTTTATTGTGTGCCTACTGTGTTCCAGAGATTCAGGTGCTGAGGATGTGAGATAAGAAAGTTCTTCTCCTGAGATAGATTCCCATGCCTGGCACAGGGCTTAAAGCATAGTGGGCTTCACTAGATGTGGTTTCTTGAATGCTTGTCAAGACATACTTAGTATTGAGTGGCGACTGGGACATATTGGAAACATACCCGTGTTACAAATGTTAAGAGCCATGAAAACTGCATATGCCAGTTATACTGGGGACAGAAAGGAGTATAAAGGCAATTTATCCCAGTTGAAGAAAAACTGTTAAGAGGGTTGATGCTTGAGCTGTGTCCTGAGAGACTGAGCACTGTCCAAAGACAGACATGGCATGGAAAAAGGCGTTTTAGGCAGAGGAGCCAGCATGGATGAGAGGGCACAGAGGTATGCAAGGAGAGGGAGTATTCAGGGATCTGGAAGGAGGGCTGAACAGCTGTGTCCGAGTGCCGGATAAGAGAATCATCTTAAAACCTGTGCTAAAGAATCTAGACCAGGATCGGTGAACCAGTCAGACAGTAAATATTTTAGGCTTTATGGGTCCTACAAAATTTGTGGGCCTCTACTGCAATATTTCAGTTGTGCTACTGTAGCATCAAAATAGCAATAGGCCGGGCACAGTGGCTCACGCCTATAATCCCAGCACTTTGGGAGGCCAAGGTGAGAGGACTGCCTGAGCCCACGGGTTTGAGACCAGCCTGGGCAACTTGGTGAGACCTCATCTCTATAATAAATCAAAAAATAAGCTGGGTGTGGTGGCACATGTAGTTCCAGCTAACTTGAAAGGCTGAGGTGGAAGGTTCACCTGAGCCCAGCAGGTCAAGGCTGCAGTGGCTGTGAGCATGCTACTGCACTCCAGCCTGGGTGACAGAGTGAGACTCCGACTCAAACCCCTCCCCCCCAAAACAAACAAAAACAAAACAAAACAAAAAACCAAAATAGCCACAGACCGCATGGCTATAAGTGAACATGGCTATGTTCTAGTACAGCTTTGTTTGTGGACACTGAAACTTGAATTTCATGTAATTTCCAAGTTATGAAATGCCATTCATCTTTTCCTCTCAACCATTTAAGAATGTAAGAACCACTGTTAGCTAATGGACCACATGAAAACTGGATTTGTCCTGTGGGTTGCAGTTTGCCAATCTCTGGTCTAGACTCTTCTGTAGTCCACAGGAACTACTAAAGGGGTTTAGAGAGACAGAGACCTTGGGATATGTACATTCAAAAAGAATCCGTGGTAGCAGTGTTGAGGGTGGGTGGGAAGCCAGGGGAGAGGGTATACTAGTGAATCAAGTCAAGGCAGGATGGTAGCACAGACCCAAATAGAGCATTCACAAAGGTGGTACTGACAGGACTTGATGGCCATAGTCAGCAGTGCTGTTTAATTGTTTCTTGGCTGTCCAAGTCCCACTCACTATATTTCAGGTACAGGTTCTTGCCTGGCCCCAGTTAGTATGATTCAGTGGGGCACCACCAGACCTCAACCAGTCATTGAATCCCATCCTCCTGGGCCACAGTGGCTGGTCATCTTATCTAAGCCAAGAAAACGGTATTGAACCATTTCTGGGCATAAGACTTGTGTGAAGATGTGAGGTCTAGAGTCGCTGCTACAGCCATCTAGGAGCCATGGGGTGAAGTATTTGAGAGAAGAGCTCACAAGGGTGGAGGAGGGTGGAGAAAGAGATCCACGGGGAGAGAAACCTGGTCCTGGTGGTGTCATCTGGGTCACAAATCAAGCCTTGCTTAAGCCTGCCCTGCCCCAGGACTCCTTATTGACATAAGTCTATAAAATCCTACTTTGCTTAGGCTGGATTTAGCTGGGCTTTCTGTCCCTTGCAAGTGAAAGAGTCCTGCCTGATAGAGACCGGTTGGCTGTGGGGGTGAGGAGCAAGTCTTTGTTGTGGACTCCCAGATCAAGTGGCTGGGTGCGTAGAAGTGCCAGACATGCAGGCAAGTACACAAAGTAAGACTGTCTGGAGAAGGACGTGGCTGAAATCTATCTGTAGTAAAGAGAGACTACTGGTTGAATCAGGGAGCCAGTCTCCTCCCTCCTTCCCTTCCCTTTCCTTCTTTCTTCCTTCCTTCCTCCCTCCTTCTCTCTCTCCCTTCCTCCCTTCTTTCCTACCACCTTCCCCCTTTCCTTCCTTCCTTCCTTCCTTCCTTCCTTCCTTCCTTCCTTCCTTCCTTCCTTCCTTCCTTCCTTCCTTCCTCCCTCCCTCTCTGTTGCTGCCTAGAACAAATGGATGACTGGAGGTCTCGTCGTCTTCTGTTACCATGAGGATGAGCAACAAATCCTAGAGTGGATGAAGCAGAAGACAGGAATGGGTCTGGGAACCTAACTCTGTGGAGCCACCATAGCAAGAGTGTATACATTCCTCAAGACTTCACTGATGTGGAAGGGAAATCATCATCCCTCCTGGCTAAGGTGCTGTTATTTGGAGATTTCTGTCTCATGCAGCTGAACCTAATCCTACCATGGACTTTTCTTTCTGCCACTGAGAGTGGAGCCACAGTGAATTCATCCAAGCCCTGCCTAGGCTACAAAGGGCTTTGCACATATCCACATATTTCTTTTACACTCCGTTCAGGGTACCTATTATTATTAAGGTTAACAAAAACTACTAGCATTGCTATTGCTTACGTTACTGTCTTTAATAGTGTGGTTGCACATTCATATCTATGATTTCTTTTCAGCTCGCCCCAACTCTGTGAGGCTGGTTTAATTACCATCTGTCCTTCAAGGACACAAGTGCTTCTGATTCACATTTGTATCCTTTGTGCTCTTGGCTCCCAGCACAAGACCTGGCACATCATAGGGCATCAGCAGATCTCTGTGGAGTGGATGGCTAGAGTTGAGAAGCTGTGTGACTTGTCCAAGGTCACAAAGTCAATCTCAAGCATAGCTGAGATATGAAAGCAGATCATCTCATCCTGAATATAGCCTCATTAAAAATAACATTACTGTGAATTATGCAGTACCCTCCATCTTCAAATTCTAAAAGTACCTTCACAGTCTCTAATTAATTTCCAGTTATATCTTTGGTTTCTTTTAAATATTTATTATTAAACACTTAAGCCACATAAGAGAAAACTGAGATGTCTATACATACTATCTGCTCCGTTTCATCCTATCAATGACCCTGAGTCCTGGTAAACTGGTTTCCCCCTCGAGTAACGGTGACTGGGGGACTGGGTCTTGCTGGCAGTCAGTCTTTCAATAGCCACTCAGTAAAAAGGTGCTGAAGATGTGAACGAACAAGCTTAAAACTTCTATCAAGAACATCATTCTCAATTTCCTTTGTTATTTTCGTTATACATCATAGTTCATATTTGTAAGGAGGATAATATTTTGTGTTCTTTTCCCACTGAAAATCCTTTCATATATGAGAAGGAAGTAGATTAAAACACATGAATTGGTTCGCTGTGCATACACTGCTCTTATTAGAAATTTGCTTTTTTCTTCCATTTTATAGAAGCTATAAAGGACAAAGTATCTTGGTGAAGACTAATAGAGGAGCAAAGTCAGGGCCAATGTGGGCTACCCAACACTAATGTTAGCTCACACCCTGCCACCCTGACCTTCAGGCCACACTTAACAGGTTCTCTGTAGTGTTCACCCCTTCACCAGGGAGTTGGACATGTGGAATGTTTTAGTCCCCTTGGGAAATCTGAAAGAGGCAGAAATGCCTGGACATGAGACAATTCACTTTTTGATGCATGGCCATGAAATTGACCACTTTTTAGCAGCATTGTTGTTTTAGTTTTAGGTTTTTGTATAGCCAGTGGCATTCGCATTGATGCTGAGCTGAGGAATGTCAGAGTGGCCAGAAACAGCAGATGGCATGGCCCTTTTATTAATCTGGTGGCACCTCATCCATGTATTCTGTTTACCACGGCTTTTCTGATGTGCAGAGTAGAAATTTCTGGATGTGTGTGCTGATTACGTTCTCTCTAAAAGAAAGACTTAAGAAGCACCCAGGGCTTCTCATCATTCTGTGAGTGGGTGTGCTCCACACATACTTACACCCAGGGCAGTTGTATTCTTTCACATCTATCAAGCTGGTCAATTGGCATCTAATGTAATGACATCACAAGTCAAGAGAGAAACACATCTATTCTAATCAGCACTCTATTAATGCTATCCTTACACTTTCAAGGCACCTTACTCAAAGGGTTAAAAAAAATCTTTGAAAGAGAAGTAAGATTTTCTTAGCCCTACATATACAATAAACTATCTAAGGTATGAAAGAGAAAAGATCTGATCTGATTGCTACAGATTCAGCATGAAGCTCAATGCTCTATGCACTGAGCTGGACTCAACTCACCTTCCCTTCTCATAACAATCTTTTCCTAAAAGAAGCAATGACTTTTCTCAACTATTGAAAGCCACCCACCTAGGAGTCTGACAAGCGTCTCAGTCTCTAAGAGTTCTCTAGAGGAAGACCTAGTTCTTAACAGGGGCTGGGATGTGAGTGTGTGTGAGAGAGAGAGAGGGAAGGGGAGGAGGAGAGGAGAGAGAAGGGAAAGGAAAAGAGAAAGGAGAAAGGGGAGTGGGGAGGAGAAGTGGAGAGAGGGAAGGAAACATGAATGTACACTAAAGCAAACAGCACTTGTCTATTTTCCAGAGGGGTTAGAGGTAGGGTGGGATGGGCACATTTCAAGGCAAGAGCACAACGTTGCTCACCAAGAAGGAGCAGAAGAAGATGAAGGAGACAAAGTAAACGTAGGCCAGATCGGTGCCGCAGCGCTCGTTCTCGTTCTGCCCTGATGGTGCAGTGGTGTCAGGCTCACAGCCTTTCTCCCCAAGGCATGACAGCATAATCTCCTGCCAGGCCTCACCTGTGGCACTCCTGAGCCCAAAAGACATGTTGGTTAGCAGGAGCAGGTGTGCACGTCCTACCCAATTCTCTTGGTCCTGTTTCCCAAATTCACCCATCCTTTCTCTTGCCTAGGGCCCGACAGTCTCCCTTTTTACCCAGTTGGTCCCCTCTGGTGCTTTCCATTCAGACACGAACAGTGCCATTGAGGTCCCTCTTGGGTTCTGCCACCCCACACACTGACTGTCCATCTTTTGCAGGCCTCTGCTAGCTAATAGTGGTGGAGACAATGGTGGGACTCCCTAAGACTCTACATAAACCTGGTCATGGAAGGTTTCAGCCCCTACGTGGAATTTGGTCTGCAAAAGCTGTCCTCACTGCCCACTCCCAAAACCCTGGAGGATGGACATGCTGAAGTCAAAATTTGCAAATTAACTACTGAGGCAGAGATATTCATGAAACTTTCTCCCATCCAAGTGTTAACCAGGTCCAACCCTGTTCAGCTCTCGAGATCAGAAGAAATCGGGCACATTCAGGGTGACATGGCCATAGAAAAGATAATACTTTCTAATGTCACAGGGGCAATTTGGCAAAGGCAATGCCCCTCCCCCCTTTTCCTGCATATCCTGATGGAAGTAGAGGAAGCAGAATGAATAGAGAAGTATAGGGAAAAGGAAGAAAGAGGCAAACCAACTCTCTCTCCCTCCATCAGGAGAGCTACAGCCACAATGGTTATGCATCCAGGTACCTGAAGAGTAGCATTAGGGACCCAAAGAAACTCCGGAAGTTGTTGTGCCGGTTGATGTGACTCTCCTCATCTAATTTTATGTTTCCAAATACCTTGAGGAGAAAAACAACAGAAAGTAATGAGTATTATAGAGTTGTGTGACGTGTCCAGCACATGGAGATTGGCAAAGCCACAATCATGGCTCTTCCTAATGGCCTACCCCTAGAACAGTCAACTCAAACCCAAGAGCTAGTGCATATCATGCTCTTGGCCTGACAGACAGCAGTAATTATCCTCCACGGCTCCAGTGCAGCAAAGGGGACCAATGATAGCAAGGTCTGACTATAACAGAATGCAAGACCCTTCAGAGTCATTCTTGCCTGTACTTAGTCTCTTCCACACCTAATTTGGTCTTTTTATTTCCATAAAGTCTGTCAAAGACATTATCCCACAGCAGGTACAGGGAAGGCATCACCCCTCTCTTCCTCAGGTAGTCACAATGGGAACATCATCAGAATTTGCAAAAGACATGATTTATGGCTTGGGTAGGTGCTGCCCTGGAAATTCCTACACAGCAGTGTAGGTCAAAGAGGGGCATTTCTATCTTCCTTAGATATGTTTCTATCCAGATAGTCAAATTTCAGATCTATATGTCATTAATCTAGAGTGCATGAGAATGAACGTGGATATACACATCTTTCAACAAACACAAATCTCATCTAAAAGTGACCATTTACGCAGAAGCTAAAACAAAGTCCAGGCTAATAGGATGAAGAAAGTCAGGACAACTGGAAACTTAGAAAAAAGAAAATGGCTTGCACAGATTCTGGGCTACAGAGTGATGTTTATTAATCTGCTGCTAGTCGCTGGGCTTCTAATGTGGTTGCCATGCAAATTCATGTGAAAATGAGAGAACACTTAGAGATCCTTTCCTAAACCCAGTGGACGATGATAAACTCTCAGACGGTGCTGTCTGGAGCTAAGGTCAACCCCGTCTCTTCAGATGAGAAGCATACTCTTCACATATGCACCCTCATCCTCCAGCCACATTTTGGGTATCAGGATCTATTCTCACAAGTCATTGCTGGCGCAACCAAAGGCTTCCTGGGTTACTTTTTCAACTATTTGAGACAATTTTCAGCCTACATTAAACATGCTTCCGTTTATCCAATGTATGCTAAATGGAACACATTTTCCACCTCACAGTTTTTAGAATGTGCAGTTGAGGAACAATCTCTGCCCCCAGCTATTTTGCTCAAGTAACTCCCACTGACACCTGCTCTGGGAATTTGTTCTCAAGGCTGTTTTTCAAAACCCAAATACTACTTGTTTCTCAGGAAGAACAGAGGTGGCAAGCGAGGTGGCAGCAGGAAAGAATGGATAAAGAGAATTAGAAGGTAGAAGGCCGCAAAGAGACAAATAGTAGCATTTTTCAAAATCCCGCCCAAGCAATCCGATCTAGTTAGCTCTGGACTCTCAAGGAGGGAACTGCCATTTATCCTTGCCCTGTTCACATCTCCTTCCCTCTTCTGTCTTTCCCTCTCCTGGTTCAGAATCCATGACTTACCCCTGATTCACCACAACTTGTAGTGTCTCCTCTCCCTATGATACTCCTGGAGTCATCGGTAGTTGTTCTCATTATGATTTTCTCAAACATTCCAGCCAATCATGAACTATTTAGAGATCCCACTGCAACTCTGCAGTGGGTATGTGTGTAATAGTCAAGGAAACCAAAGTTGGTTTGAATATTTTTCTAAGATAATTTTCATATCAAAAATGTATGTTTATTGTGAAGGTGGTCTTTACCATTTTTTTCCACTTTTATTTCCAGCTTTTCACTTTGTCCTTGTCACTAACCCAAAACTCCTACATCAAAAGGGTATGGAAGAAAAAGAAGTGATGCTGAGACCTGTCAGAAAATTTCAGGAGAGTACAGGCTTAAATCCATTTTCACTTGAAATCACAGAACTTTAGAATTAGACGAAACCTGCGAAGGTCTCTAACCAATACCTCTATTACATTGGTGAGGGAGTCAAGGCCCAGAAAGATTTAGTGACTTGACCAAGTTTATACAGCTGGTAAACGCAGCTGGTAAGAGGCAGAGCTGAGGGTGAAAATCCCACTTCCTAACAATCTGTAGTCACTGGTTCTTTCCCATCCCCAGCAAATGACTCCTTCCTTCCATCTTCAGATTCTTCTACAAAGGTCTCTTCTTTTAAGAAGCCTTTGAAAGTTCAGAACAATAATGGTTCTTCACATTGATGCAGCCTGTTGCTATTCATATTTTTCTAAAAGCATATCCTCTGCTCTTTTATGTGTATAATTGTGACTATATTAGACACAGTCTCTCCAGCAACAAACCCAGGTGTTCTGCTTTGTGCATGGTGCTGGGTCTCTCCCATGGACCAGAATTGAGAGTGGCCAGCTTGAGGCAAGTCACATGGAAATGCCATTCACCTCTCTGTGGTGTGGAAACAGTGCTCTCGGTTCTTTAGGAAAAAAGTCTAAGGGAAATAAGATATAAGCCATTATAACCATTGTGAAGACTACAATTTCACACCTGAACAGATCCTACTTCCCACTAGTGAATCCAAGAAATATTTGCATTTGCTTGTCTGGTGGGATGAGAAACAGTATAGAGTTAAGAACATGGGCTGTGGAGCAAACAGAGCTAAGCTGACATCTCAGATCTTCCACATATTATTTGAGAACTTGAATATGTTATAAGGTACTCAACTACGCTAAGCATCAATGGAGACAACAGAACTCACCTTTAAACCATTTTCACATCACTCTGGAGACATTAGTCATGTATCTTGCATCTTTTTGTGCTCTTGCATACATGTACTCTCTCTCCCTCCTCCCCTTCTCTCTCTCTCTCTCTACACACACACACACACACACACACACACACACACACACACACACACACACACACACACACACATATATTTTACATATATGCCTGGCACACCAGGGAGTTAAAGTCATAGTAAATAGCATTATCATCATTATCAGTATTGGTAATATTTGTAGCAGGTCAGTATTAGAGATAGTGATATTCTAGTTTATTTTGCTTGAAGATGAAAAGGGGTAAGAATTATTTTGAGCGCGAGCAAAAATAATGTAATTATAACTAAAAGAGAAGAATTGCAATGGTCCCATTACAAAGAGAAATATAAATGTTTGAGGTGATGGATATCCCAATTACCCTGATTTAATCATTACACACTGTACACAGGTATAAAAATATCACATGCCTTTGAAATATATACAACTACTTTATCAATCAATAATTATTTTGAAAATAACTCAATTTCATCAAGTTTTCAAGGACTTAGTAGAAGTTATCAAACCAGTCTGAAACTTCAGCAGAAATCCTGCTTCTGTCAACATCATCATTAAATCTCTCCTGAAATATCCTCAGTGAAGGAGAGCTCACTACTTCTCAACCAAGTCTCAAATATTTTGATGCTTGGCATTCTACATTTTTGGAAAACAAAACACTCTAGTAGCAAAGTTAGAGGAAGAATAAAACTGAGAAGTGCAGGTCAGGAGAAAAGTAAACAGAAGAGGCATTTCAAAAAGGCTCTGAAAAGGGCCGCCAAGCAGCAAGCCTGGGACACTAGAGCAGTTGTACAGGTGGAAGACACTGTTGGGAGGCCAGCCAGCCGTCCAAAGGCAGCCAGCCGGCCTGACTGCAGGAGACTGTGACACAGCTGAAGTTCTTTCCTGGGGTCTAGTCACGATAGCTTCCGGTCAGAGAGTTCATCCTTCTGAGACAAGCAGAAAGCCTGTATATCCAACAGATAGGTTCACAGGAAGTGCTGCCTGCTATCTACAGTAGTTCACCCACCAAAGATGACCACCATCTTTAAAAGACCTGGTGGCCTCTTCTGTTCAGCAGGCCTCAGGCTCCCTGCATAACTACTATTTGGAGTGGGAACCTGATCTTCTCCTCAGGTTCTGAAACTGGGAAAGATGTGGTAAGCCAAAGGAACCGTCCAGCAAGTTACATGTCCCTAATTAGCTGAATGTTGCCCTTGAATCTCCCTAGAAATGGGTAGGCATCAGGAACTCCATGAGTTGTGCACAGAAACAGGGTCTTAGGTCATACATCTCAGTCAGTAAAGAGTTACACAGCCAACAATGTATGTGGTGACACACCTGGTGTCAGCATGTACAGGGAGAACAACCATCTGACCTTCTTTTAGACAAAGTATAAATACCAGAGATCCTGAGAAATAGATCAAGATGACATTCACCCCCTCCTTCATCTCCTGGGGGATCCTTCTGACTATGATCACTGGTGTCATCTTTGCTTTAGTTCTATTCTACTGTTGCAACCACAGAAGACCATCTGCTTACAAGTCAGTATCATGATCTGACAACCTGAGATGATGCCCCTCTCCCAGACCAATGTGACCTAGGCAAACTCATGGGAAACCACTGCACATGTGAAATTTCCAAGGTAACACTGCATCAAGACCTTGGAGGGCGCCCTTAGGCAAGAAGGGGTTCAAAGTATTCTTAAATCCTGCACGTTCCAGCCAAGCCAGAGACAATCTGGAAAACAGCTGTTCCCCTCAAGGTCCCTGGTGTACCACCTCACCTGCATCCCAATGATAGCATAAATGAAGAACAGCATGGCAATCAAAAGGCAGACGTAAGGAAGGGCCTGGAAGAAAAGCAGAGATAAGACCATTAATCACAGAAGGCAGCTTCCAGACTCAGCTACCTGCAGTTACCAACAATGCAGGAACTCTTGTCTTGAAGCTAACACAAACAGGTGACTAGGATGCTCCATTCCCTGGGGCTGTTCCCTTTTGGGGTGAATACCTTTTCAGAAGTCAACATCCTCTTACAGATATGTAAACGGTTGGCCAAAGAGAGGTTTGTAATTTAACTTCTGTCAAGAATAGTCACTCATCCAGAAGTATAGCCCCTATCTACAAGGACAGCTAAGAAAACTTCCTGGGCTCAGGATTCATCCCACTTGCTACGCAGATTAATAACCTGGGCAACTGTGATGCAAACTGTACACCAAGCACCTAGCGGTACCCCTTTCTACTCCCACACCCAATGTGGAGTCCATAATGAAGAATCTGGAAGCAAAGGGAAGTGCCTGGGTCTCACTTGCTTGTCAGTTCCTACAAGGCTCTTTGAACTTCTGATGAAACATCATTTTCCAGTATTTAAGCCTCCTGATGTTTCATTATATTTCATGCAAAAGCCTGTTAAGTTTCAGCCACCACAAAACCTTGCCCTGAAGTCACACGGCACAAATCTCCATACTGTGCATGTTTACTGCCACTTCGAAATGGTAACATTTTGATGATAGGTGTGGGGTGCAAGGCAAGAAGAAAAGAGGCAGGAAACTGCTCCTGGTGGTTGGGGGAGGATGTGAACATAGGGCAGTTGGAATCTGGGGACAGGTGGGCCACTACAATTCTGGGGTGATCTCAGTGCTGCCAGGGAAGCCTCTCTTCTTTACCATTGAAGAGTTCCCTGAAAGACAGTGCTACTAGGAGTCTCCACCCTGTCTTGAGTGTACACACAATGAATCCCAGGAGAACGATTGAAGGCTTTCAGACTGCACGAGCAGGGTAGGGCTTATCAACAGAGCTAACGAAATGAAGAGCGCTGTGAGACTATTTACAACTTGAAGAGAGGATAAAATTAAAATGCAACTGAAAGCTGGTGGGAGAGTCCTCTCTCCAGTGAAGTGCAGATTCCCAAGACCCGTGAAGAGGGCTGGCTGCATTTCAAGGGGCACTTTAAGTTGCCCTCTGCAAATGATGAGGGGGAGGAGCAGAGCTTCTTGTACTTGAAGTATGCTCTCTTCCATTTTTACCTTCGCCCTTCTCTACTCCTGTCTCCAGTCCCTAGTCCAGCTCTACCTACTCCCAGCTTTAGAGAGAAGACAAAAGAGTCATTCTGTTCTCCTTTCTTCTCATGTCACAAATTCTAACACAAAATAAAGGAAAGGAGGGAAGAACTTCTGAGTAGGGGTCAGAGGTGAAGAACTGGATGCTGCTTAGGGCAGGGTAGGGTAGGCTTAGGCACGGTGATGCTGTTTCTATTGTGTGGCTCTCTGTTTGGTGTTTGCAGAGGAAGCCTTTGCTAACTTTACTTTAAGAAATCAGCTTCTGTACTGTCCCAGAACTGTTATGAAAAAGAAACATCTATCTGTAATGCAGTGTCACCTGGAGGCAGGTTCACCTGTCTTCCCTGTTCTCTGTAGTATTCGCTGGAATAAGCCAACCATTTGACCATCAATTTTTGACAATCTTTTCTTTGTCCTCAATAGCATACAGTTTCACAGAGACTTGATGATTGTGGTGATATGACAGGATGACACCTATTTCTTAAGAGACTCACTAACAACTGAAGTTCGCTGAGCTATCCTCTAAAAAAAAAAAAAAAAAGGTTTTAAAAACATCTTGTGTTTCTAGTTCTGAATCCAAATTCACCTGAGACACAGATAGAACATTCTTGCTAAGGTTTTCGATTTCTCCTCTGTCATCTAACTTTGGAAAAATAGTTTTAATTGAGATGAGGCCTCTGTGGGAGTTACTATGCCAAACAATTACTCTGGATATAATTTTTTTTTTAAATACTAAGGTTGCTCCCAGGAACCTGAACACCCTTACAATTGATCTTACATCTCAGACTCCCAGGTCCTCAATGAAGAAGTGAGTCAGTAATGCTGATATAGGAAGAAACTCCTCTCCAAATGATGAGAAACCGTGAACTCATCAGCTTGCCTGCTTTAATTTCTAATTAAAATATAGAAATAATTAAAATAAGGAAAGCAATCTGGTGAATTCATGATTTCTTATCATTGAGTAACTTAGTTTCATCAACTTTATTTTTAAACACATTCATTGAAAAATTTTTTTTTTACATAAGAGAGGGAAATGACTTGCATCTGAACAACAGGTTCCAAAAGCTTAAAAAACAACTAGCTTATGACATTTGCTGGAGCCCAAACATATTTAAATATGTCTGGAAAACTTTTACTGGGAGACTCTGCCATTAAGATGGGTCTCAAGTATCGATTTTTGACTTCTCTTTATTACACACATACCTCTGTACGGACCCGTGACAGTGTCCAAAAGAAACTGACTGTATTAACATGCTCAAACATTCCTACTTGTCTGTAGGACATAGAGGTGGCCATTAGCATACCCTACACTCAGTGGCTGAGGAAATATGTGCTGAAGGAGACATGGGTGGGGCTGGGTATGATTCATCTCTCTAGGAAACACAACTCAAGGAGTCTTTTGCAAAATTGTTATAGGAAATAAAGTCATTGAAAAGTCCCTGAAAATGCAGAGGACATCTGGCTACACGTGACTGGCTCTTTACATGGACGGGGTTGCTCAGGACAATCTGGAATCCCTAGGGAGGACACACACCTCTTGAAACTTGTCTCTGCCTCAGTTGACAGAGAGGACGTCTGAATTACAAAGTCAATGTGTTTTTCTAGAATAAGATCCTATCCAGTAAACATAAGCGGACCCCTATCAAGCCAAGCTATGTTGTAACTAAGAACTGCTATATTTATTGAATGCTTCTAACAAGCACTCATTCTACCAGCTTCAACATTCCAGAGGTGAGGAGATCGTATATGATGCTGGTGCTGCCTGGCTGTGCTGTCTGCTATGTCACCCCTCAGAGTGAATGTGCCAGTGCCACTTACCTTGAAGGACTGCACAAAGGTCCAAAGTAAAATACGTATGGTGTAGCCCTGACGCAAGAGCTTTATGAGACGGGCAGCTCGGAAGAGCTTCAGAAAGCTCATGTTGAAGCCACTGGTGTTCACCAGCTGGGGACCAAAAGGAAATACATAATTAGCAGCATTATGGTCATTTAGAAAAATCTAAGCACTAGTATTTGCATATTGATCCCTCATTCAGATAATACAGTTGGACACAGTCTCTATCTTTCTTTGTTAATTTCCAACGGCTGACCAGCCAGCCAATGAGGTCTATCTCTCCAGGACTGAACTCTGGCCAGGTAGAAGGGTTGGGGACATACCCCAGAATGGCATCCTATATGTATTAGACACAACTGGCCTCCCTAGACTTCTGTCAAGTGGTCTGAAGTCTGCAGTCAGATGCCCCAAAAAAGCAGCTCTAGTAACTACGCTAGCACATGACCAGCCCTCCAATACCCGGAGATAGTCACAGTGAGCACTCCAGGTTTATTCTTTAGAATGAACAAATCTGGGGAAATAATTCAGGTTTCAGAGCTTTGAGGGCAAAGATATTGCACCACTTTTGAGAAAGAAGATCACTGTGCATACTAGCCCTCATCTGACACCCTCTCTTCCACTTACCCCTTAGATATCTGCTATTCAAGTCATGCACACAAATTAAGCCTTCCATGAGATCCAGTGCCTCTCCCAAGTTTGCATTCTCTTGTTCATGCTCAGCAGCAAGGAAGAGGACCCCCAGCGCGCTGAGGGGTACATATTTGCTTTGGTGGGATAAAAATGAACTGAATGTACAGAGGAGGTTTTTTTTTTCTTTTTTAATGCTGTTCCACAGTCAAGCTTTAAGACAAAGATCTTATAAGCCCATTCACCTTGCTGTCTGTCAGGATAATTTCTGTGATACTGCCAATTACAGTGATGAAGTCAAAGATATTCCAGGTGTCTCGGAAATAGTTCTGCCAGATGAATTCAGTCACAGGAACGTCAGAAAAGGGGGGAAGGGGCAAGAAAGAAATAAAGAAGAAAAGATATCTTTCATTACATAACTTTGTCACTTGGAATTAAAACCTGTCAATTCATGCACAAGTTCACTCTAACTTTGACTTCAGTTTCCTATTTCTAACCAAAAATGTTATTTCTCCTTTACTAATTTGGGAATTTCTCATTTGGAAAGAGGTTCCATCACTATTTAAAGATCTTACTTTTGAAACTATAACTAAAAAGCTCATATGTAAGAAAGATTTTTTTATTTTTAACAAATATGTATGCATTTATTTTGAAACCACCTGATTGAGGTATGATTGACAAAAATCTTCCCATATTTAATGTCTCATGAGTTTGGGGATATGCATATACCTGTGAAACTATCACTACTATCACACAATTTTTAAATTATATCGCATTGTTACCCTATAAAAAATAGTCTTTAACTGTCAACAAAAGTCACACACATCAAGACTAAAGATCATAGACGTGTCAAAAATCTCCTTCTAACTACATTGAGTCTTTTCAAACCAACTACTGATTGGTAATAAGAATAGAATTCAATCCCCTTCCTTCTATGCTCTGTTATACCTTTTGAGAAGATATAACTAGTGAAAAAACAAGTAAGTGGTAATAAAATGAGTGGGTTGAAGGAGATGGAGGAGATAGAAGGAAGCTGGAAAATTCAGCAAACAGATAACACTCCACTTAATAGAAGAAGGTGGACAATGCATCCATCTCCTAGGCTCAGGTGAATGCACAGAGGCCTTGGACTATGTACCTTGAAAAACAAACAAAAAAACCAGGATACTTGAGTCTCCAAAAAAGACACACGCTTGCCCTTGGGACGTTGAAGGACAGTCTATAACACAGAAGACAGAGATCAAAATAAACAGAATGTAGAAATTCAGAGGTGACAGAGAAGGTATGAGGAGAAGAAAATTTCAAACACCTGTAATCAATATCCTTAGCAAGATTATAGGACAGCAGATTATTTTATTCTATCCTTGGAATGAAAACAAGAGACTCTCAGAGTACTGCAGAGGTATACCCCATCCTAGCCTCACAACGAGCACCACTGAATCCCTACTATACGTGCCACACATGCAGTGCCTTTGGCATTCTTTCAACTAATTCATTCCTCTCATGGATCCATTAGGTGGGTAGTGAGTGACAAATACCCCTATTCATAAAGTGCTGAGTAGAAGGGGTGGCAAGAAGAGTGAGGGATATATGCAATAAAGAGAGAAAAGGAGTGTGTGAAACACCCACTCAGAACTGGGCACCTTATGAAGAGTATCTAGCTGGATACACACAACAAAATATCTAAGGCCATAAGGTAGCTATTGTTATCCTCATTTTATATATTAGGAACCTGAGGTTTGAGAGGCCTGATTCCAAAGTCACATGCGCCTACAGGGCATATCGAGAAACTGAAGTACACAGTTTCATAAACCTACCTTCCCTAGCCCAACAGTGGTACAGTCAAGTTGAGTCTCTAAGTTCCTCAATTGTCAGGGATCTCCTATTGTCCAACCTGGGAACAGCATCCTGATTCTTGGTTTTAATTTCTCCTAGTTCTCGGTGCTTGAATTTAGGTCTCAGAGGAGGGACCAGAAGCTCTGGATTCCAGTTAAGGATGCTTTATAGTACAGAATAGCATATTGTGGTATAGACTAGCATAGTGTGGTGTATGATATGGAATATGAGGGTAGACTATGCCTCTATCTCCTAGGCTTAGGTGACTGAACACAGATCTTGGACTGTGTCCCTCAAATAAAACAAAACAAAACCAGGACATTTGGTCTCTAAAAAAGACACTTGCTTGCCCCAGGGATATTTAAGGACAGTCTCTAACACAGAAGACAGAGAAGTGTGGTGTAGACTAGTAGATTATTGTGAGCTTTGAAGTTAAACCAGGATCTGAAGACTGGCTCTACTTTTTACTAACCTTGCACAAACTATTCAACCTTTCTTAGCTCCAGCTTATCCATAAAGAAGGAAATAATAACACCTCTCTAATATGGTTGTTGTAAAGAGAAAATGAGCAAGTAAAACATTTGGAACTTAATAGGCAATGAATATGTTTCTTCTTTCTCTTTTTATTTTTCTCTTCCCTTTTTATTCCCACCCCGCTTTTCAATTCTACTGCCTTTTATTGTGTATTTTTTAAAAAGCAATATAATTTTTCCAAACTTAAATTTCCTCATTTAAAATAACGAATAATAATCATCATCATCATGATATCGGCTACGCCTATTTCAGAGTCACTGAGAAGATCTAACAAAATAGTATATATTGGGATATTCTGAAAGCCTAGAGTGCTGTATCAATGTAAAGACTTGTTGGGACTAGTGGTGCCTTTTATAGTGTGAAAATGCCTCTAGACCTTGAATGAAAAATGGGGGTGAGAGTGGGAAGGAGGCAGGCTTCAGGCTGAATCTTGTTAAGACTGTTTGTATTCAGCATTCACCATAATTAGACACATAATTGAGGACTTAAGTCACAGACAATGCCAATGCTACATGCAAGTAATCAAAACGCAGAGAGAAACTTTTCCTGTTGTGGCTCTGGCTTCTCCCTCTCTTTTATGGCCCATTGCACAGGGCTAGACTGCATTATAAAGGCATCTTTGTTGGTGGTAGTTTTTACTTTATTTCCTCAAGTCTCAAAACACTCAAAAGGGAGTCAAGCAAACAACAATGCAACCACCTGCAATGAGCTCCTTTCAATTCTCCACCCAAAATGCTCAAATTAATGGCTTTTCCAAGAACCCCCATTAGGAGACCAGAAGCAGTTCCCACAATCAACATTCACAATTATCAAACCCAGCCCAAGAGTCCCTGTTAAAGCTGCCACCAGACAAACACTTACTCAGCTAATGAGCAAAGTTTTCCTTCTTGCAGGGAAAGCCATACACACATATAATTTGAAATGGTAGCTCACGCCCTAAATAAGTGTGAAGCAGCTGTCAAGTGGGCTTATCTGCATCCCACTGAACCCACTCTACACACTGAAGCAAGGAAGGAGGGGTGGCAGAGGGAGTATTTTGTTTATAGGACATTGGAGAATAGGGCTAGGTTTTCTTAACACTCTTGGGAGCAGATGTAAGAATTTGCCAAACAATTTTAATTAATAGTTGATGAGAAGAAAAAGGAGAACTCATGCCAAAAAAAAGTTATCCCAACCCTCCCAAACTTAATTCCAGAATCCCTCCCCACTACAGACACACACACACACACACACACACCCTCCCTCCCAAAGGTTATTGTCCTTTATAAGCATAATAAACATTTATTTTCCCTGGCAGAAATTATTCTCCATGTTACTAACAGCAGAAGAATAAACAAAATCTATTATCTTCTAGGTTTGAGGCTAAGAGGGACAGATAATTTCCCATTTGACTCATATGTTTTACCAGTAAATAAGCATTCAGGGTTTATTAGTCAAATCCCTGTTTTGCTCCTTTATCTACACATGGGTTGCATTTCTAGTAAGACCCAACGATGGTCACCCCTGGACTGCTGACAGAATTTGACAGGACCAAGGCTAATGGCTAGATGCATATGAACCTGGTGGTAAGGCTTCCTTTGCCCTTTCTCCCAACCTCCTCACATGTTGTCTTATCTCCACGGCAGTTTACTGAGCAGTCAAAATGAGCCAACATTTAGGTGGGCAGGTGTGTGAGCCACCCCCCCCCCCAGGAATGCACCCAAAAGGAAGAGAAGGCAAGCTTAATGCTGGGATAGAGTTGGTGACATACCAAGAAGCCAAAAGCGATGATCTTTAGGACGCATTCCAGGGAAAACACCATGGTGAAGGCAATATTCAGGTACTTTAGGGCCAGCTCATAAGTACAGGGAGCAGAGTAATACTGCCAGGAAGAAAAAAGAAGAAAAAGAGAATCAAAGCATTAAGATGAGAGGGGGAATACATGTCACTGAGGCCGGCCACCTCTCACCCCTGCAGTTGTGGGACACTTTGTGGTGTGGTACAGCAGGAAAGGTAGAAATCGAGTGCTGGAGAGGAAAACCAAACATCCTTGTACCAAAACAAAAGAAAATAGAGACCCGTGCCCCTCTTCCCCCCACAGCATCATACAAACAACCAGTCTTCCTAGAGATGAAGGCGGGCAGGGCAGAAACGTTTTCTAGAGTGAGTTAGCTACTTTCTCACTTGGTATTAAATAGGATTGAGCCTCTCTCAATGCTCCAACGCTCCTTTAGACCCTAAGATAATCTCTAGCTCCTGACATCTTCCACCTTTGTCGGAAGCTGCCTCCTGCCACCATCTTAGGTCTTGGAAGCCCCTGGGTTGCTACTGTAGGTTGCACTGCATTTTGCCCAGAGAACCCTCAAAGTCCCAGAGGCTGGGCTGTTGGAAAAAATAAGATCACCAAGACATTCCATGATGGAAAAGTAGGTAAAGAGGTAATAGACTGGGATGCTGGAGTGTCTTCCCACTCTCTTGGTGCACACACAACAGCTCTGGGAGGGAACCACCACCAGGACTCCCTCCTCTCACCTTCATCATCAGCACGACAGTGTTCAAGGCGATCATGGCCATGATGGTGTACTCGAAGGATGGAGACACCACGAAGTGCCACACGCGGTACTGGAAGGTGTGCCTGTTCTGTGGCATGTAGCGGGTGAGAGGTTTGGCACTGATGGCAAAGTCGATGCACGCCCTCTGCAGGAGAGTCATGGTTATTAGTCCGGGTTCAAATCCTTTAAACCTTGCCCAGTGGTGGGCTCTCTCTGTTAGATGAACAGAAGAGGATGGTGCATGAAAAAAAAAAAAAAGGGCAGGGCTGGACAAGTGGAAGTAAAAATGGCAACAGGGATCATCTGGACAAAACTACAGGAAAATGTCACCGTAAAGGAGTACGCAGAACTGGAGGCATTCTGTTGCACGAGGTAAAGACTCAATGGTTATTGATGAAGTCCTTTTACACAGCATGCCACTGAGGTATTTAAGGAACAAGTCTTCTCTGACGCCCTCAGTCAGAAGTAAAGTTCTATCTACCTAAGTTTTTCTACAGCACTTTAGGTTGCATTTTTCTTTTAGTTCCTAAGAGTTTCCAGTTCAGTTCTACTGTAAAACAAACAAAACTACTGAGACTCTACAATGTTACAGAATCATACTTGTTGCTGGAAACGCAGTCCTAAGACGTATTCCCTGCCTTTGAATATATGCCATGGAATGTCACAGTAATGTAAGCAGATGTCTTTTTTTGTGGGTGGTGGGGGTGGACAGGGGGAGGTCTCAACCTACTGGGTCTCAATCTACTGGGCTCAGTCAATCCTCCTGCCTCAATCTCCCAAATAGTTGGAAATACAGGCACGCACCACCAGGCCCAGTCAATGTTTTTGATTTTTTATAGAGACGAGGTCTCGCTATGTTGCCTAAGTTGGTCTTAAACTCCTGGGCTCAAGCAATCTTCCCACCTTGGCCTCCCCAAGTGCTGGATTACAGGTGTGAGCTACTGCGCCCGGCCAAGCAGATGTCTTAATGTTATAATCGTGGCACACATCTTTGCTTTCTAGATTCTGCACATGTAAAAGTAGAGACTGCATCTTAAGCAGCTTACGTACGTCCCAGAACTCTATACCTCATGCCTGCATCAAACACTGCTCAAAAAATGTTTACTTAATGACCAAATCATTAATTTCTCCCACTTTCTGTCTATAATTCTTAATCAGGTTAAGAAAATGCCATCTTCCTTCCTGATGCTGCTGGTCTGAGAATTCTTCCTGGAGCCCCTGCTGTTCCCGCTTCAGACCAGTCACTATTACCTCATTCTTCTCCAGGCTGCATTCCTCCATCATCTTGTCTCCTTGCTCCTGGAAGGTGATGATGATGAGAGCCACAAAGATATTGACAAAGAAGAAAGGGAAGACCACAAAGTAGACCACATAAAAGATGGACATCTCCATGCGGTTGCTGCGGCTTGGGCCTCGGTCTTCCTCTGTTACATCTACAGAATGCTGTAGAACTCTGTGGGGACAGAATGAGGGGGCATGGATGGTAGATGACAGTCTTGGCGTCATCAGAAGATCTGTCACCTATCATAGTTCTTTATCTGACTTCCTAGACTTTATAGATCCTCTGCTAATCGTTTGGATCTATAACCAAGTTGGCATACCCCACTGGCAGCAATCCACTGTTCTTTCTAGCCCCCATTCCATCATGCATTCAACTCCTAAGCAACAAAAGGACATTGCTTTACAGTTTAGGTTGTCATGTTCAATACCAACAGACTCCTGGATTTCCATTTGATATTTGACTACCAACTAGAGAAAGTACCACCAGAAAGTGGTTATCTTTAGTCATTGCCAAGAGCCTGCAAAATTAACCTTCGGCTACTTATGGGTGGCATAAGAACCTGCATGCTGTTGTCTTCTTCCTAAGACGTATGGCCATAGCAAGTGTCTTTGTTTTACTTGCTCATTCCTAACCCTCAATCCTCAGGTTTTCAGGTGCATGGCTAGCCTGGAGGACAAATCTGTCTGTAACAGCCCCCAGGGATACTTCTTACAGGCCGATGGTTATTCAAAATTCATTTGCTCCACAGGAGTCCAATGGCTCCACTCAACTCCTCAGTTAGTAACTAAAACATTAAAAATTTCAATTATTTCCCTGACTTTGACATCCCCTTTTCATTTGTGCCTTAGTGCTTTTCATTTTTCCTCTCTTCTGCCTATCTCAGTCACTCATAACCACTTACTTTTCCTGGTGCAACAACAAAGGGATTGCCACATTCATTTTGAATCAGCTTCTCAAGGCAACCACATGATCCCATCCCAGGGCACAGAGAAGCGTGTCAACTTAAAGCCAGCACTCACTGAGGCCATCCTTCCCCCGTGGAGACAGTGAAGAGGGTCAGCAGGGCCCAGATAATATTGTCGTAGTGGAATTCATGGCGCTTCCATTCCCGACCCTTCACCTCCATCTTGTTTTTCTCATGATCTACATAGTTGCCTCTAAAACCAGAGAAGAAATAAAAAGAGAGCGTCTTTACTATAGCTCACGAAGGAGTCAGGAAACTACAGACTTCAATGATGCAGGGTAATAATGATTCCCACACAAATGCAAGGAAAAAGGTATTTTATTAAAGGCAAGTATTACCATGGAATAAAAATGAGATTTGGTGCCCAACAGACATGGGATGAAATCCTAATCCTTTATCACTGGTTGTTGTGTAATCTTACATAATTTGCCTAAACTCTCTGAGTTGTCGTTTCTACTTGAATAACATGCAAATAAAACCCATCTCAGTAAATCATTATGAACATTTCAATGAAAATCTGAGCATAAAATGTCTTTTACCATGCCTGCCACAAAAGAGGTGCTCAAAAAAAGTTTCTGGATTCTCTATTTTTTTTTCTGGTAAAAGAGGAGTGGAGACAGGTAAGAGAGAAAGGAGAAAGGGTGGACCTATGGGGTGGAGTGGACGTCTCAGGACACGCTTCAGCAAAAGCGAGTGGGATGTTCTAGCAGCACGTACATGCACTCCTTCTCTGTGTCCTTGGAACTGTCTGTACAATAAAAGAACTTTCCCTTGAAGAGCTGAACTGCGATGACAGCGAAGATGAACATGAAGAGCTTGTAGACAATGAGTATGTTGAAGACATTCTTCAACGAGGTCACCACGCAGTCGAAGACAGCCTGTGGACAAAGCAAAGAGCCCTGCTGTGGGAGCCCCGTGGTGGCCTGTGCATCAGCCTGGAGCTGAGCTGGGTGGCACCACCACCACCAGTCCCACTGAGAAGGCACCTTAGGAGACAGCACCCTGCTAAGAGATGACACTCATGGGATTAAGGGGAGGCTTCCAAGCTGGTCGTGACTACAAGGACCTATTACCTGGAAAGGGGGCACATGCTCCGAACTCAAAAGTAAACTCATAATAGTGGGAAACAGATGACATCAAGAACAAAGGGGACCCTCTGTGGGATCCTGGTAGGGTAGTCCAGTAGTGTGAGGCACAGGAATTTAGAGCAGGAAGGGATCTTTGAGATCACTTGGACCATTTTAGCCATTAAATAGCTTATCCCTTACCTTATATTTATTTGGTGACATTTTTAGATTTGATTATAAATTAATTATATATTGTCTTCTCCGTATTTTTCTAAATGAATCAGGGAGTAATAACACACCATCATCTTTGTTCATTTCAATGACATAAAACGTCTTGTACCATGCCTGCCACAAAAGAGGTGCTCAATATATATAACTTATAGCAAGTTCATATGTTCAATCTGATTATGTTCAACACTTCATGGAAATGTTTTCTAGTGAAGCTGGCTATAGCTGGGATGAAGGCCAACCCAGGTGACATGTGAAGGATTGACATCTGCCCTCTCTTAGAGATGGGGAGGCTGCATGGACAGAACCAGGAACTCACACTTCAGTTGAAAGGCAACAGCCTTCCAGAGACCTCCGTTCTAGGCCGTAAGCCGTGAGGACTTACATGGGAATTTCAAGTCATTTTTAGGTTATTTTCTAGGTTTTTAGGTTTAGCTCACAGGACAGCCCAGCCCCACGCTAGTGATGCACTTGTGCAGTTCCTTCTTCACAGCGCTGGGTGAAGCATTGCTGGTTTAATTAGCTCAACACTGCGGGGAATGTGAGTGACACATAGACTTGTGGAGTCATCAGAGCCACCTACGTCCTTCGGGTTATGCAGCTGCAGAGAAAGGAACCAGCCCTTTCTAATTAACAGAATTAACCAAGGTTGGAGGGTGCCTTCTCCAGCCTCTTAATTAGTCTCATCCAGCTTGTCTGCATGCTCCTTAGGATCCCTTGGAGCCTGTCTTGAAGCAGACAACAGTGCCCAGGGCCCCAGGTAGCCTGGCCACATTCTGTTGGGCACAAGGCAGAAAGGATGAATATTTATGGGAAGGGGCCCAGGTCAGGTGCTGTGTTGGGCCTCTTACCAGGTTGGGAGGTGGTAAGAAACAGCTGAGACTGTGGGAAGTGCCTCCCCCAGGAGAGGAAGGCAGGGTTGCCGGAGAGGAATGCCATTGGCCAGGTCACTGCCTTGGGAGCCTGAGTGTTTCTCTTCTTGAGCCCATGCAATGGGCCAGGGTCCTGGGCTCTGAGAGGAAGCCATGTTTCCGCTAGACCAAAGCCTTTCAAAAGTGACTTTGTCTCCATAAATCTAGTTTGTTTTGCCCCCCTCTACAGAGCCAGAGGGCTAAAAGGGAAGGAGTGCTATGAGGCTTGAAGGGGACTTGGGGTGGGAGTGGGTGGGAACATCAGAAGTTATGAGGACCCAATAGGAAATGTGATTTGGAAAGCAGGAGATGGTCAGGTTCCCAAGATCCTTCTCCCTGCTTTATCCTCTGTGCCAGGCTTGAGAGAGCAGGCCCAGGCATAGCAGGGGAACTGGTGGGTTTTCTAACAGGGACCACTCAAATCATCTCATTTTGTCAGCCCATTTGTCAGCTCACATCACAAATGTGTGAGTGACAAAATGTCCCCATTTTTCACTTGAAAGAAAGTCAAAGAATAAGTAATTTGCCCTGGGTCATGTAGCTCCTAAATCTCAGAGCTGAGTCTGACACTCAAGTGGGTTTTTTTCAGGGTTGACGAGGTTTGTCAAACCGTGCTATACTAAGACCACCTGGGCCGCCCCTTTAGGAGGCACTTTTCAAGACCCTCTCCTAGGCAGTCTAGTCTGTTGTGCTGGGATAGCCCAGGAATCTGGGTTTTAATAAGCATCCAGGTGATTCTGATGCAATGACCCACACTTCAAGAAGCACACTATTCCAAGCAACTCTGCAGGTGGGTAATTAAATCTGCTTCCTGGGAAGCATTGTGATGCAGTCCCTGGAGATAGGCTCAGCTGGCTATGTGTCCTGGGTAGCAGCAGCAGGACTTTGGAGCTGTGAACTGGAGCCCTGGTCCTCTCCCTGGCAGTGGCTGGCTCTCATTCTCGAGAATTCAGGGAGGAAGAACTTTCTCCCATGGTGCTTCAGCCTCGAGAAACAGCAATGTGGGGTGGGGGGGAGGGAGGGGAGGGGAGGAGACTTCAACAGGCCAGGCTAGCAGACTTGAATGATAATGCTCATCCTGAGAGGCAGGCAGGAAGGCAGAGCCTGGGGAATTGAGCACGGAGAGTTTTGGACAAGGAGAAATCTGAATAACGCTTTGGTCCTGGCAATAGGAAGAACTTAATTTATGTTAGCTTACTTCCCCATTTCTTCTTTGCTTCTGCCAAAAATGAACTGTGTGTCCTCAGGCAAGTTACTGATCTATCTGTGCCTCAAAAACATGAAGGGTTAGAGCTAGAAGATTCTCTCCTCTTCTAGAATTATGAGAAAAGAGAACACCCCAGGGCATTTAGCCTGATGTAGTATGAAGACCACAACATATGCAGAGGGTTCTGGGTCTGCCTTAGTGACACAGGAGGCTCCAGGACAAAGCCACACAGGGTTCCTCCTGGGTGACCCACCACACTGAAGAGTAGAAGATACTACGTGGGTCTTGACTCAAGAGGCAAAAGAACCCCCCACACATGGATTTCTTGGGATGTTGGTTATTTTCCCTTGAAACTAAGACCCCTAGATCAGGCAGATGAAAAGAACCTCAATACCCAAGTGAGAAAAGAAATACTCCCAGAAAAAATTCTCCAAAAGCAGGCCAGTCAGGGGTAACAAGAGAAGTCAGGAGAAGCATCTGCTGGGAACACTGTCACCATTACCTTGAGCTTGGGCAAGCGCTTGATGGTTTTCAGTGGCCTCAGAACTCGCAGCACCCTCAAGGACTTGATGGTCTTGATGTCCCGCCCCTTGTTGGTTCTGCAGGGGAGAGGCCCCAGGGAATCATTTGGACAGGGGGAGAAACAAAAGGAACATTCACACTATTGCATTAAAAACAACAGAGAGGCAGGGAGAGATATAGGCGAGGGGTTACTCTACAAAAAATGGGTCAGGAATATTCTCAAATCACTTGCCAGTGTGCATGCACATACCCACCCACGAATATACACATAGAGGAATACACACACATGCATGCACACAGAGACATCCATGCACAGACGTCAGTAAATACTCCCTCTCTCAGTGACTGCCAGTCTAATGCTCTCATTCCCACATTGGCCCAATAAAAACAGAAGATATATCAACTGGGGAGTACAGCCAGTAGCCCACTTCAGATCCTCACTGTGCCTACTTCAGTAGAAAGTTCTCAAATGATCCTCACTGAATTAAATAGCTGAGAGCAAATCTTATCACTTAGTCTAGGTTTGTCACCTCTGCAACGTTCATTAGTGCAGAGGAGAGCAAGGTGAGGAAGGGAGGTGGGGGATGTGACACCCTTGCCGGGTTGTCATGTAGGTTCCTTGCAAGGACCTTGGCTGACACCCCAGTAGGCCTGTGTGACTGGCGCTTCCCGCAGTCCCTTCCATGGCAGACTTTGCACCCAACACAGACTACAGAGCCCTCTGCTTGGAAGAGGCTCAAACAGCAGTCCCTTCCTGCTTTCAGCCTGGCCCTATAGCTAGTAACCCTCCCTAATTCAGACTCTTGGAAATGTTTGCTCCTCATAGAGAAAATATATTTCTTTATGTATTTTTAGGAATAAAATGACTAAATCAACTTGCATTCCTCTTTCTTCCCTCCTCATCCCCTGAAATCTATGCATTCAACTCGAATAACAGCAATTTCTAAAACACACAAATGGTAGAAAACGAGACTCTAAACAGTGAGGCTAGGCTCTGGTTCTTTTTTCATGTTGACCCAGATTACTATTATGCCAGCAATCTGAGGAAATGGGATCCAGACATCAGGTGGGAATGACAAGGGTTTCTGCCTGCTTTTTATTCTGACCTTCCTGCGATATCTAACCTTCCCTACTGCCCTCGACAGGGAGATAAAAGTCCATCTATTAAACTAAAAGCGAGGCAAAAAGATATTTAATCTAATCGCAGGAATGCTGACTTTGCCCAAAATGTAAATGGTAAGACTCTCTTAATGGTCATAAATAATCAGAAAGAATCACATTGACACAGTCTTTCCCATCCAGAGGCTCTGGTATATTTTACAAGCTATCTTACTGTATTAGGCTCATCTACCTATGTACATAAAAGAGGCAGCATATAAGCCAACTATATATCCCAACCAATGAGAATGATCACTTCCCAAGAAGGCTTAGGGACTCCTCATGTTTGACCTCTTAGATATTAATGAAAACTCAGCCCTCACATAAATAAATGCACCACATCTTTCTCACCGCATCAACTCCTCCCCTCTGAATCTTGCCTCACCCTCCTCCAACCCACTCTTTTACTTCAAAGAAAGTTGAACATATTTACCCCAAGGCATTCCTATGGAGGATCCAATCAGAAAGCAGTCAAAAGAAGGGTGGGGAGAGAAGAAAGTCAGTCCACCTCAGGGAGAAAACAGAACCTTACAACAACCGGAAATCAGAGAAGCACAGGCCCCAGGGACCCCACCCACAGCCTTGGCACTTGCGGGGTCCACACGCTTTGTGAAAGGCAGGGCCAGCGCACCATTTGTGCCACAGACCCTGCGCCAACCTGTGAAGGAAAAGGCCTGTTGCCAGCACTAGTGAAGCTGCCTCCAACTAGGTGGGCTTCCAGGTAATGTAGTTTATTCTGTGGAGACTAGTTTAACTGTAGTTTTCCAAATGTAGGGTTTTACACTCATTTCCTTTGTAGTCTTCAGACAAACTCTCTCTGTTTCCAGTGGATTTCTAAGAAAACAGGTTGAGGCATTATGCCTGCTCTGAGCCAGAAGCTGTCTCTCAGGAAGGGCATTTCAAGTTTCTCTCTTGGGAAAGGTGTAGTTAGGTTTATGAAAAATTTCATTTGGAGAGGAACATGCAACCACTCAGAAAGGGCGGACTTGATATCTCTCAAAAGCTCAGAGAAGCAGCATTGTTAACCTTCTCTAAATAAGGGAAAAGGCATTTGTCTACTAAGGTCACAATGTCACACAAAAGGTTGCCTTTTGATAAATTAAATGACCAAATGTCCATTGTGAGCTATTTACTGTGCAACTTGAAGAAGAAAAATCATCCCAGCTCTATGGGTGAGGCATAACCACAAAACAAAAATGTCAGAGTATGAATATCTTTACAATAAAAATAGTGAGAGCTAACTTTTAAACTGTCTGAATTTTATTCCTTATTCCAGGCCAGACTCTGTATTAAGCACTTTTAATACAAATCTTTCTTTAAACCTTCTACTAACTTTAGAATGTAGGAATTACTATCCCTGTTTCACAAATGAAATTCAGAGAGGCTGAGTGCCCAGAGTCAGTTGGGAGAGCTGGGACTTAAACCCAAGTAGGTATGATGCTTGGAGCTCTTGCTTTTAACCTCTAAGCCTCTATATCAGCAGGTTTCAGTTCAAAGCTCTGTCAAACAGCTCACTGAATTTTCAAGCTGAAAAAGATCCCTGAAATCTACCTAACTGGAAAGGAAACTGAGGCCTGGGAAGAACTGTCTTGCATAAGACTGTTTAGTGAGTGAACTCAGAGTCACAGGTAAATAAGCATCTCATGAATTCCATCCTGATTTGCCACTAAGAAGAAGTGCCCAGAATTCAGGCTTTGGTGCTTAGTCGTTGACTGCTATGAAGGTTACTTCTCTTTTTCTTTTCTTTTTTTTCCCCAATGTACCGGAATCCTGTGTTATACCACCATATGTCACTAAAACTTCTAGTGGCCATTTTATTCATTAATGATTCCATATTCAAAAAGTTACATTAACTTTCACTGTAAATACCAGAAGAACGGTGATTTGGGAATTAGATCCAAGGCTTTATAAACCTTAAATCCCTAATGCGATAACCTCCAACTATTCGGGGGGCAGAAATATCTTCAAGTTGTAACAGCATCTTCTCACATACATGATAGAGCATGTGGCAGGTCTGCCAAACACAGCTTTACTCATCCATATAACAAATATCTGTGTAGTCCTTAATGTATATCAGGCACTGTTCCTGGTACTGGACACATAATTGTGAATAAATGAGGTCATCAATCTTTTGAAACTTACCTAGTCTACCAAGGAAGACATACCTCAAGTAAACAAGTACACAACTGAAGGCACAACTGAAAGCTGCCATGGAAAAAAATGGAATCATCTGATTGAAACATTGATCAAAACAACTATATAGATAGCCCTTTTCCCCGTCTACATTTGTCTTGAGGAAGAACCAAGGAGGAATCTTTCATATCCCTAAGATGTAGAAACAAGGTGGGAGATCAATACTCGGGCAGGTGGTCTAGAATCACACACCCCAGGCATTTGCCTTCTGCTTAGCCCAGGTCCTTATGACAGAGACTTTTACAACACAGAGACTTTTACAACCATCTGAAAGGGTTCCTAGGGGCCATGCTCACAGACACCCGTCGAATATAGGAAGGCCTAATATTTCTTGCTCCTCCACACACCTGGATACAGGACATAATTTGCTTTCTAAAATGAATCCCTCACCCCAGAATCCCAGTAAAACATCATGGTATAGAACAAAGGGGATTATTTTTGGCCATTGTGAGGGCATCCATTGTTTTGGAAAATGGGGTTCCTTGATGGTACAGGCTAATATAAACAGTGCGGCTGGCAAACTACTGGGGGCTATTTGTCCCATTCTAACTCCTACAGATCTGAGCCAGGGATAGCAATCAGACACAGGCCAAAAGTGAAATAAAGATTCGTCATTATCTGCACATCTTTTGTCGGGTCTCTTAACTACAGAGGAGATGCTGAAAAGCTGAGTTTGAATGGTCGCAGAAAAATACACTTGCATCCTCAGCTTTTTGTTTTGTTGTTTTTCTTCAGAGATAGGGTCTTGTTCTGTTACACATGCTGGAGTGCAGTGGCATAATCAGAGCTCACTGAAACCTCGACTTCCTGGGCTCAAGCAATCCTCCCACCCGCCTCAGCCATCAGAGTAGCTGGGACTACAGGTGTGTCCTACCAGGCCAGGCTAATTTTTAAATTCTTTGTAGAGTCAGGGTCTCACCTGTTTGCCCAGGCTAGTTTTGAACTCCTGGCCTCAAGTGATCTTCCCCCCATGGCCTCCAAAGGCATTGGATCACAGGCATGAGCTACTGTACCAGGTCCTCAGTTAACAAAGGGAGAACATTGATTTAAAACTTGCCATTTGAAATGACAGGCATACTGAATAAAAAAGCCATAGAGTTAGAAAAAAGTCTCAACAATTTAGTTCCCATTAATAAAAATATATCATAATTTACACATGAAATAGGCCAAAGCATATCTCTTAAATCCACATGTACGAGAGCCAAAAAGATTGCAAGGAAGATGTTTTACCAAACTAAGAAGACAAGCTCTTCACTCACTTTACCTGAGGTACACTGTTTTGGAAATAATTCATGAGTTTTCTGCCAATCATTTAAATATCATTTGATGACACTTTTCTAGTCTCTGCCACTAAATGTATAATCAGATTTTTTTTAAATACTACCTAGTGAATTAGTGAAATATTATCAGGCTTGAAAATGGACTCTAGCTTTAAAATCTGACGATGATTCCACATGCTAGGAAGCACTGGTCCCACTAATTGGGACTCAATTGGGTCACCCATTTTACCATTTATTTCCTACTTATTTGGTAAGTTACTGGCTGCTCTCCAGCAAAAAAATGTCACGTTTTGCTCTTGTCTCATCAGTAAAAGATGATAATTTTCCAGCTCAATTGCAAGTTGTCCTCCAGATCTTTCATCACTTACTGTAATCTTGTACTTCACCCCCCCTCCCCAAAAGACATGCTCTCAAGTTGACTTCTGCTGGGAGCTGCCCCTCCTCTCAGCAGAAATCTGGGCAGGGTAGAAACATCAGGTTCTGAAAAGCTCTTGTCCATTAAGTGTCATGGCCTTCTACTCCTCCTCATGAGCCCAAGAGAGAGTAGCTTGAAGGAATCTCTTGCCTTAGAGGAATGGCTAGGCTTGCTGGAGTGTAGGGCGGAAGAGGGGTCGCGCTGCGAGGAGCCTTGAATGTCTTGCTAAAGTGTGTGGGCTAGCATTTGGTAGGCAATAATAGCTGCTTTTCATTACACAACTATTAAGTGCTTGGGTATATAGGACACTAAATATATCCTACCTTATTTAATTCTCACAGGACCAAACTCTAGTTATTTTGAATTCCTGCTTATAGACGAGGAAGCAGAAGCTCAGTCAAGGTAGCTAACAATTAGTAGTGCTAGGATTCAGACTTAAATTTTCCAGACTCTGAAACCTAGACTTGTATTTTAAATGAGAACCACTGGAGGGTTTTAGCCAAAGGAAGAAACAGTAAAAGAAACCCGTAGTTCCTGAGCTCAAATATTGAACTATCTCTCTCATTCTCCTGAATGATTAGGGTCTATGAGGGTTCACAGAAGAAAAAGTTACAGATGAAAAGCTCAGAGATGGCCTTCTCCATCTGGCCCACAGGTCTTGTCTGTCTCCAGGTAGAGACAGAAAGATCTGTAGGCTGAGGAGAGAGTCATGCCAAGTCACTGCTCTTGGCTTAACAGGGGTTAATGGCTTGGAACTAACTAGAACATCATAGGTGGAAGGGAGTATAATATGATGGAGAACCTGAAATCTTTGAACATTGAGCCTGAAATCAGAACATGAAAGTTACTCAAGAACTGGTTTTGCTGCCTACTAGTCAAATGAGTCAGACTAGTCAAATTTTGAGTAATCCATTTCTCAATTGTAAAACAAGATGGTCCAGTAATCAATAAAGAGTATGAAAGCACTTTAACAATTCTAAAACCTAGTGGAAATGAGAAGAAAGTCCCCCCCTTTGCATTGGCAGTGTGTATCTCTCTAGGACTTGTAGGTAGGGCCAGGTTCATCTGCTTGTGTGAAGAATTGAAATTTAGCACTTTGACCTTGTCACTGCTTAGTGGCTGCCATCTGGGGGTCATTTTTCCTTCTGGTCCACGTCTCAGCATCCCTTGGGGCCACCCATGAGCCCTAAATCCATAGTTACTCTGCCATCTTCCTTTTCTGTGACTAGAGCACTAGCCCTATGCTAAGTAGGTGGTGCATAATTCTTTCCCTCTTGCACACAGACCTCAATGAGCTTCTCATACACACTCACGAAAGCCTCTCGCAAACTCTCTCTTTTGCATTGTGTAGCACTGCATTCCAACTGGAAGGTATTTTTGTCCAAACACTGAGAGGCAGCAGGACACAGCAGAGCATTAACTCATCTAACTGTCTCCTAGCAGTTTTGTTATTTGGTTTGGCGAACAGTGACCTTATTTGTCTTTTTATTCTAAACACACCCAACGACCCCTCATCTGTTCATCTTTCTAAGAAGGCCTTGGAGCCTGCTGAAGTTC